AACAGTAATTTACTGCTGTTATTGCTTGTGTTAAACCGTCGTTGATTGGACCGAAATTGATCAGTCTCTGTTGGCATGTGACACATAGTAATTTGCTAAGTTACAAATCAGAAACCTACGTTTATTCATTAGCAATTAGTCTGCAAAACCACGAATACTTAGTCTGAATCCAACACACAAATAATAATTTCTGGTCAAGTAAACACCGAAAGATGAGTGCTCAAAGCTTGGTAAGTTTTAAATCAAAACTTCGATTAATAACCGCTTTAATCGAGACAGGCTTACACAGTTCTCGCATTAATGATCACTGGAACTAACAATACTCCGTCGTTAGTTCACAGAAATAAGTCCACTCAGTAAATTCACATAACTGTACGTGGTTAATGTACACAAATTTGATCTATCTTGTGTATCGATCATTTTCGAATGCTCAACGGGTTTATTCAAAAGCAATTTTGAACTCAATGAAGACGCAGTAAATAAGGTAATAAAACGTAAATTAATGAAGACCATCAAAAGAAAACTCTACGAAGCCACTCTGCAAATCACATACACTAGTGAACATATGTGTGAAAAACAAATTTTCACTGCTAGCCACTTCACTGCCTATATATCACTTCAACTGCCTATATGGAGCTATGTACATAGGCAGTATGCATAAATGGATTGACTAACGTCTACCCCAACACCTAATATCATCGCTGACTAAAGGTCAATGCAGATCAATCTACAGTTCCATTTTTCAACATTTGGTTGGCAGCAGAAACATTTCCAGGAGATTCATTTGCAGCAGTCTGCAAACTAAAGTGTAATCTTCCGAACAGTATAAGGAAACTTTTACTTTGTATTGCTGAGGCTCTAGCAGTACAAACAATGTGTATCCAAAAGCAACTCTGCCATTCCGTCCTTATATATTTACTTCTTAATTTTTAAGCTCCTGAATTTTTAATCCCAACTATTATCTTTAATTTTCATGTTATTACGTGGACGTTTTTTCTCAGTCACTAATTTTTCATTCCCTTTCTCCCTATCTATTCACCTTGTTACAGATACTTCGATTCTTGATCGCAACTAACAGTTTCAGGTTGGTATTCATCACGGACTGACATCAGTTGCAGAAACATTGAAAACCTGGGAGAACTGGGCAGCTGTTTTGTCCTAGTATGGGACTCCTCAGCAGTACGCACCCATGACCGCGCCAGGGCTCGAACCCAGGACTTCCAGTTTCCACGGCCAACACGTTACCATTAAGCCACTGGGTCGAAATCCAGTGGTTCCTATCTCCTAATTTTATCAGTTCACGATGTAGCGCGATCTCCATCCAATGCTGTCGTTGAGTAACTGTTTCTGTATTCGACTTGGTTGACCCTACACTCAGTTATACACATTATAAAATATTTTCATTTTTCTTATTTAATTCCCATTCCTTCATATTTTCCTGGTCACAACCTAACAGGAATTATTGGTTATTAAATATTGAGCGCGCTGGCTCTTCATTTATCTGGGAAGGTGAATCAGTCATGGTGGGTCAGTGGCTGACGGATTTTCTGCTCGGACACAAAAGGCCCGATTAGCTTTCACTAACGTACGCCACTAATAGCACCTCGACGTTACTCCGTTGTCTGCTAAGCGTCAAGTGTACTCTGCTGCAGTTCGCTCTGTCCTGCTGCATGACCGCAAAACATGGCCATTAAATGTAGAGGACATGGAAAGGCTTCAGGTGTTCGATCACCGTTGCTTTTGTAGCATAAGTCGCGGTCGAAAAAAAATCGAAATCCACTTAACAACCTTGTGCAGTAGGCAATGAGCCACACCTATTATGTGAGGGCTAGAGATACTATTTAATTTTTTAAACCTTGCTAGGTGGAACGGGGTTAAAACTTTTGACCAACCGATTGGTAATCATGTGCCTAGGCCAACAAACCGTAGCTCCCCCACGTCAGTGATGGGGAACTCAGCCGTAGGGGCTTAGAGAGAAGAGGATAGTTGGTGAAGCTTCATCGACTGAGGTGCTTTGGATGCCTCGCGGCAGTAGGTTTAGGCTAGAGAATACTGAATTCAGTACTTTCTTATTCCTCCTTCCTCTCATTTACTACTTTTGACCGATTCGTCTTCATTTCTTTATCTTTCATCTTAGTACTTACTCGCCTGATGTGCGGATATGTGTCGCAAATTGGACCGTTATGTAGTAATGCCTGGTCCTATGTTGACTGATAAATATGCAAACTAATTATATTTCGATAAGATTGTACAGCTTTCGAGGATGCTATCACCAAAAACAAATTTCTTCTTTTATGACTCAATGGGAATACTTAAGTTTTTTGGATAGAAGATTAGTAGGCTTATGGGTTTTCGAAAGACCGTAAAGGTGTCAGAATTAGGATTCCACGGATTTCAAATGAATTCCTTACTAACAGCATTCCCAGAGAGAACTAATGTTAACTTCACATATGAGGGTGAAAACTTTTAGCAGATCAATGGTATAATCAAAGGAAGTCCTTTAGGTCAGATATCCATATCACACGTCGACAGTCCGGTTTGAAATTCGATTGCGAAAAATATGTGATAAGCCAGGAGATGCTATTTTGATCCTCAGTAGAGTGAATAAAGCTTAGTGTAACATATCCTTAACATGTGAGAAAGAAAAGATGACTGCTTACCATTCTTAGACATTTGCACAACTCGTCAGGAAGATGGGTCAGTAAAATAATAAATCAACATGGACAGGACAGTACCTTAAATACCGTAGTTTCCTTCCACTTCAGCGTAAACAGGCACCAGTCAACCGGATTCAAAGGATATGCACATACGAAACTAGAGGAGGAAATGTATAAGCTCACCAAAGTACCAGTAGACTATAATTATTCCCTGAAGTTTATCGCTTGTAATAAAAATTCAATTTTAAGGTTTGTGGGGGATTTATTGACTTTAGGTAGGTATTCATTATAGACTGATATCAGTTACAGGAACATTGGAAACCCAGGAGCACTGAACAGCTGTTTTATCCTCTCATAGGACTCCTCAGCAGTACGCACCCATGACCTTCAGTTCCAGCGGATAGCATGTAACCACTGAGCCACTAGGACAAAATAGCTATCCAATGCTTCCAGGTTTCCAATGTTTCTCTAACTGAGATCAGTCCATGCAATAGAAATGCAGAACGAAGAAGACTTATTTGGTCAGTTACAAAGATAGATATTTATATATTGCTTCTGCATATGGATGATTCACAGAGACGTAAGGCAACCGTTTAGTGAACATACTAAGCAGCATAGGTTAACCTCATGAAGAAAACATAACTTATGCACTCCTATAAGCCGTCATAGCATTTGAACTATCAGATCACATCTAATCAGGCTCATCCGTTTACATGTACGTATGGTTAGATGTATATAGTGTAAATCCGTTCAGTCAATGTAAGAGCCACAGAACACATTTCAAAATGGCTGCAACAACAAGTCGGATGATCCTGTCAATCCAGGCAATAGATGTGCAACTTCGTATTAGTGAAATAGGTGACAAGGCTGTATATCCATCTCCCAAGCCTATTTACAAAACCAATTCCTGACATATACTTAACTTTGCTGGAGTTCAAGCGGTAAGGAAATATAAACCTTTTTTATGCATTCAAAAACAACTTGTTTTTGCATTAAACAATTAGACCATGTATTATATATCCATTTTTTTATTAAACCTATTTATCTTTTGTTATAATTTATACAAATATGCAGAACAAGTAAATGTGTGACCACTGTTCAAAATGTATTGTGCTACCAGAATTACTTGTTTCACATAAACTACACCTTCTTGTTTGGTCGAAATTCGTAAATCAGACCAGCTGTTTCAGATTTCAATCTCCTCAAAAACGCTAGATAGATTGTAGACTGAGTGAGCTCTTAGGAAGTGAGACCTCTGACCACAGAGGAGTGTTTGATTTTCAAGGTTTTGTTCTGCATATAACTAAGAAAGAACAGGCCTATTCGATTTTCTTTACCCTTGATTTTGTTTTTTTATTTGTCCTGCTATAACGAGTTTGTTTAAGGTCTTGGTCCTCTGGTTGTCAAACTTTTTCAACATGATCGGTTTCAAGTGAATGATACGCATTTTCGTCCCTGAGTACATCCTTAGCATTCCTGAAGTAGTCCTTCTGATCCATAACTATTGTGGTATACACTTTGCTTTTTAAAAAATGTTTTCTATTCCTGAGTGGTCGGCCAAGTACAACCTTCTTTCTGTCTGGTCAACAGCACGACTGTTTGCCGTATTTGTTGCTGAGTTTCCCCACTTACTCTTGATATCTTCAATGATGAATTCAAGCTAGCGAAGAATTCTTATTTTGAGGTGTTCCTTTTATTGCAATTCTGTCCTTGCTGAAAAAGTTCTCCCACTTTTGTCAGTAGTTGCCTAGACAAGTCGTTTATTTTCCCTATTGTAGGTGCCTTTGAAATTTCAACCAGCTTTTCACTGAGTATTTCTCATCTGTTTTCAGCAAACTGCTGTTCTGTATCGAATACCCTTCGGTAGAAGACGGTGACGAATACACTCGCGCAGAAAAGACAGTTATCTTCTTTTGGAAACTTTTATGGAGTTTTTCCGATTTACTAACACCCAAGAGCCTGTTACGCTAGTATGATATTGCAGTAATGGAGAATATTTGCTGCTAAGGAAGATGATCCTCCAACCGGTATCCTCAAACTACATGATTCTAAACACCCTTAATATACACATATATGCATCGAGGTAACATTACTACTTGGCACAGATAATGCAGTTTGACGGTCTCATGGCACAGTACTACTATCAGTTCTAAAGACTAAATCAATGTTTCAACTACTGTCTGATAACCAGTTCACAAACAAAATACCGTCGTACAAGCAGTAAGCCAATCGATGGGAGAATTTAAATCATCCAAACTTCGACTACAAAAACATGAACAACACAGGTTTGAGTTTCACAAGGCTGCAGATGAACTTAAAAAGAGAACTGAAAAGTAAATCAGTGTCAGGCTACCTTTTAATTGCTTGAATCCTTTAAAAAACTGAAAAGCACAATTACCTCAACTATTTGTAACTGACAACAGATCAACAACAGTATATGTATACATGTAGACCAATATATATACATCCATATATAATACAGTGGATAAGTATCAGTGAAAAATCTGAGGTAGAATAAGCTATAGCAAAGAAGTAATAAATCTAAAATGCTGATCATCAACGATAAATATGAAAATTCCTATAAATATACAAGAAAAAAAGAAAATGATATTATTCATTTAATTAAAAGTCCATTTGGTTGAGATATCTGATAGTGTTTAGGTCCAACACGTTTGAGTGTCACAGTCAAACGAGTTGTATTCGGGATTGAATCTGAATACACAACTTCAGAATGCCATATCATATCATTAGGATCTGAGGTATGCGACCACCATGGATTATGGACACGTGAAATTGCGGGTGTATGAGATGAATTTGACAGATAGTCATTTTTAATTTTACAAGGTGAATAACATGTATACAAGTCAAGAGTACTGGGGGGAGTTGCTGGTTGTAAAATTGGAGGTGGTGGTGTTTGAACAACCTTCGATAATAAAGTGTCATATTTAGCATTACATGAATAACTCATTGATTTCTGCCTACAATTTTGAGTATTTATTTTCTTACTAATTAATAGATTTGGAGCTAATACACATTCAGCATTGTATGCAGTTAAGGAGTAATCATGATCCGTCAAAACATGTCCAGCTGACAACACAGTGTTCTTTTCATCATATATAGTAGACCGTTGAGAAAGATTCGAGGGGTATGCGTGTGTATCACGAAAATGATAGTCATATGTGGACTCTGAGTCTACATTTGGTTCAGTGAGCTCAGAATCAATAGAAAAAAGTTCACTTTTATCGTCTCCTTCAGCTGTAGAATATATAGATGGCGGTCCGACATCATGAGAGCTGTCCGAAAAAGTAAATGACGACGTTGTATGAATTTTTGAAGGAGTTGTTAGCAAAGGTGGTATTGAATCCTCAGAAAGAGATTCGACGTCCAAGCACTGGTGACTTCGTCTATCTGTAGGTGCAATATCACATTTATATTTGGTTAAATCACACAATGCTGTTTGTCGACTGCGAACACTATTAGAAATCTTAGAATCTGTGTGCACACCAGGATTTGTATAGTCAGTGCTGCATAGTGACCGCTTACTCGCGGGCTTCCTTTTATTCTCACATTTCATTGGCTTTGACTTTGGAGATTTGAGTATATCTCTCAATGAAATATAACCAATAGAATCTGGATAAGTCAAAGGTTTGCGTATACGTTGCTTGGACGCTGGAGTGAACAATTTAGCTTCAGCTATCAAACGAGCATCATAATTCGTCAGACGTCGCCGACCATTTTCTGAAACAGGAGGTTGGTTTGATGGACGATTAGTTAGCAATAAATTCTTAATATCACCACACTGAGTTTCGCTGATAAGTCGTCCCAATATTGGTTCAACATTTTTCGTCAATTCATTTTCTTCTGAAAGGGATCAGACAAAAAAAATCTGGTAAGAAAACATAACACAAGCAGCATACATACAAATACACAACAAGCATTTATGACTTGAGATTCCAAAGATTTGGGAAATGAGACTCCTTGTCCAATTAGTTATGGGTTCCGGACATTGAAAGCTCTAGTGTGAAACTAGCAACACGGTTTGAGAAGACAAGATATGATCCTTGGGTGGCTTGCAAGTTATCAATGTCTGAAGATTTAGGTGGGAAAACTATGGAGGGCATAATGTCGGTAACAGCAAAAGATAATGAAGACAAAGGTCAACAGGGTTGGTGAGGATCTTTGGAAGTATGCGGACAGCTGACATTTTCTATATGCTTGTATCACAAGCTAAATACAGTCATCTTTGTGGAAAATGAACAAAGATTAATTACTATGCATTTTACGGTTTCCTAGTATTTTTAAAAATCATATTTTGTACATCACTTCACAAAAACCTAAAGAAAGTAGTCTAGCTACCTAACATAAATGTTGCGAAAATCAGAAGAAAACACTTATCAGAATTCTTACTTCTGTTGCTTTTAAAATGACTTGTTCAGTGTAAAATATCTATGAATACGAATGAAGCTAGCTCATCTTAAAACGGAACTTCGTTTCTGTTAATGAATTAAACTGGTTGACAAAGAACCCAGTATAGATGCGTATCAGTTGCCCTAATTCTGAACAATTCAGAGGGTGAAACTCAAAAAGAAGTCGGTTTAACCTACCAGTGATATATGATTGACTGGTTGCTGGGTTTAGTGTTTCGTCAGCAGAAAGTCGGCAATGCATATAGGATGTTTGTTGTGTCAGATTATTAATACTATTATCAATTTTATTATCACTGCTATACGATTGGTCCACTGAGTCAAGATAATAGGATGATCCAAGATCAGGTGTAATAGTCGTATCACTGAATGAATTATTCGGTGAAGTTGATGACATACGATCTAATGCAGGTGGTAGAGGGCTATTCGAACCACTGCTGTCATCATTATGAACACTTTGTCCCAATCCACTACTTGTTCCATCTGATTCTTGCCATGTCATATTGTCACAAGCTGTAGGATCATTGGAAACAGACTCCTTGGTAGCACTTTCAGGAGTGAAATTGTCCACTTGTGGTTCAGACAAACTGTTTCTTAATGGTTGGTGTCGACGTTTTACAGCAGACAATGAGTTTCTTGATTTTCTTCTATTAGTAACGTGTGGATTTGAATCCGATTGACTTCTTCGACACGGTGAAACAGTATTCAGCAGAGTTCTTCTTAAAATACACTTTTTGTAAGGAGAATTAATCTTTGGTTTTCTGTTTTCTTGACTGATTACATTACGTGAAGCTACTGTTGCAGCCATAATCCGAGCTTTAACACGATTTAAACGAGAGCCAGTATGACGTAAAGCGTATGCACCAGGCAGTGCTTTACAAGCCAGACCAGTAGAAGATCCTTTCTTGAGGAGAAAATCCAACGACATTGATTTGCTATTTTGAGAACCATTCCAATTAGTAGACTGAGCATTATCTACAGAAATTTCTAGGAAAAACAATAGTAATAACAAGTAGAATGAAGAATAGATTGATTTTGTAATCACTTTAAGTGGCTTTGAAATTCATAGAAAGTCAGAAATAAAAGCTAACATTCAATTTACAGACTCGAGTGTTAACCAGACATGACATTTAAAATACTACTATCTTAATCCTCTTAAACATTAGTATTTCACTAGTACTGAGCAAAAGAAAAACGAACTGACTCTTCACACGATTAGTCAATCAATTAGTAGTAAGCAGACAATGAATAAGTACCGAAGGCCCAACTACACGAAATAAAAATGTTTGATTTACCTAGGTGTTCACAACTTAACTAACTTTCCATTTCAAAGTAAAGACATATGCTATCAAAAAGTATAAATAAATAACAAAGAGAGGGAAACTCGACTTTTATGGATTTTCAACTCTGACAGTCAAGTTTCTTATGACCGAAAGGGGAACAAAGATAGCAAACACGTTTACTGATGGTTTCATACAGCAGCCGCCATGTGCAGCGAAACGTTCACACAAGTGTCATACATAGCTACACTCACTAAGCATCTAATGGAAGAATCACTATACGAAAATCAGCAAGAGTTCACTTTAGGAGGCGAAAAACGTGTTGTGAAGTGCGTCATCAATATGAGTTGAACAATCACAACTTACTTCAGTGGTGTTTGTGTTTAAAAAAAAAACTAACATCAGCCATACTTCAGAATACTAAAAATCTATCGACTCTCGCTGATAGTTGCTTCTTCCTGATGAATACAATACCCTAAAAAAATTATCCAGAAACTGTATCGCTAAGACTACTTAGTATATAATGCGGACGCAGGTTGAGGAGGCCATGAAAATATTCTCATAATCTGAATTGTAACTTGTCATGAGTGGCTGTTTCTTCTGAGCATCAACGTCAAAATGAGTTGTGAACACAAGTGGTTTCAATATATGGTAGAGAATCCTATTAAATTTTAACTGCTATCTGTAAAAGATTGGCATTTCCAATCTTACAGAGTTGAAAGTAGTTTCACTTATCAGGCTTCTTTTTATGTCATTGAAACAACCGAACACAGATTACTTCTCACCATATCCTATGGAGTATATAACTGGATATGTGGTGACTTTAAGTCCACTCGATGTTTAATAGATGACCTTCTAGGTTGTTTTATACAGTTGTTCAGATGCTTACTTGAAAATTAACACACAGTTGAAGTAAAATGTTTGCACTGTACCATATTTCATCAAACGTATGAGACAGCATGTTAGTCCTTGTTGTACAAATGACAAAGCGACAAAGTAATATTTATCACATAAGACCTCCAAATCTTAAAGGCATATTTTAACCTGCCCAACTTATTAACTTTCAAATATATTGCAAACTATTTGCTCTCGAAACCGTTGTGGATTTTTGTAACTTGGGCTGATGCACTTTATGGTAGATATTTTGTTGCTGTGTATATCTACCGGTTTACATTTCCTGTTATTTCGGAAGAGGATATTTAACGTGACCCCACGAAACATATCAGGTATAAAGCACCGGTTTATACTTATGCAGTGAAGACACAACTCCAGTGGCAGTACTTGCAAACAAATTACTTAAGATTACATCGAAACACTTATCAAAACCCCACAATGTATCCAAGAACCTTACCGCCATACACAATTTTACCTCTGATTTCTCTGTCATACTATACGAAGATTGAAGAAATTTACGCTAATCAGTTTCGGGATTAAAAACGAGTTCATCTCAAGTCTTCTGAAGGCTTTCCCAGAATAAAATGAAAAATGTAATGTATCTTTATCTTCAAATGGTCTTAAGGTTGCCACCAAACTCATGAAGTTTTGCCTTAGTTTAGTTAAAGTGATTGGTATAATGCTATACTTAACAACAGTATGAAAGCTAATGTGACATTTGAAAAACTAAATAAATGAGGTAAACAGTCAATTTGTAGAATACAGAAATAAGTTGAAATTGTTGATTGTCAGCCCGCGGTGTTCACACAAGGTTCTATCTCGAAAGGGACACAGCGTAAGTTCACACTGACAACACCTTTGTACTTGACTATCCCTAATCCTCTTTCAAACATCTATCACAGAATAATCGATTAGGAGATAATTTACAAACAGCATGATTCACATAGACACGTTTCACAGCTAAGCAGTTTTCTAACTGCTCAACTGTTGTGTTAACAGGGTTTCCCGTAGGAAACTACCCAGCCATGATCACAAGATATATTTCTGTGACACAAGAATATAATGAAGTAACAAAATATACCAATGAACAACATGAGTGGTTTCTAACTACGCATGTTGTTCAGTAGTGGATTTTTTATCACAACCGTCTGGGTGTCAAGACACATGCAAAATATGCAACTGATGTGTACATGACTGATAGGTAATAATTTTCGTTCAGAAAGCTACCTGACGTAGAAATCATACACAAAAAGCTCTAAGAATTTAGTAATACAGTAAATAAAACGGTTATCAGTAATCAACTACCTTTTATTGGATTATGTTCGAGACTCAGAAACAAATGAACTTCATACAAGACTATTAAATACAGTCTATATTACGAAATCTTTGACACATATGCTAGAATATTTTTGGTAATATAGTGTCACTGAACTGTTTACTTATGAAGTAGTTACTCAGTTCTGAAGTGGCGCTGAAAGGTTCGTTTTGAACAACGCCTCCTCCGATAGCCCTTACATAATGATCTAGATCACCATTGAAAATGCGAACTCATATACTCCGGCTATGCAGTATGATTTCACTTTTTGAAGTTATAAAACAAAAAAATGATAGTATTTTGAACAAGCGGGGATTTCAATGTGGCTTCCCTGCTTTACAGCAAAGCTGAGATATACAGTCGAACTATTTGAACTTTTGTCTGCAGTAAAATGGCTCTAAAACTATATGACAGAAGATATGGACGGGGAGGAGAAACTACTGAAACAATACAAACAATTTACATGCGCATACGATAAGTAGGTGCTTAAATTAGCAATATTTTCTACCAATTTTACATTTTATAACAATTCTTGATGAATGCATCTTATTCGAAAATTGTAATTCACTCAGCTACTTTGCGCACATTTGTGTGGTAGGCAATGAGCCACACCTAGTATGTGAAGGCTGATAATACTACCTGATTCCCAAAACCACGGCAGGTGGAGCAGTGTTAGAACCCGTGATCCACTGGATGGAAGTTATCTCCCTAAACCAATGAGCCACAACTCTCACTACTCATCACTAAAAAGAGATTTGAGCCTGAAGGATTAAAACACTTTTTACGCATAGTAATGTAATTAAAATGTTCATTAAGTTCTGACACAAATGAATGAATTCCGCATCCCGGTAAGTACAAACGTAATGAACGTTTGCGGACCAATGATTTTTAGACTGTAACCCCCTCGGTAAGGAAGATAAAATAAGTTACAAATACCACCAGCTTATTTACTGTATTTTCTCAATCAACCAGTTCAAACAATACATATGGCAACACCAAAAGTTTGCGGGGAACCTTAGTGCTTATTTTATGTATGTGTCCAAATATACCTGCATCCTAGTGTAGAGATTGTTGAAAATTAAAAAAGATTAATAAGTAAAGGCACAAAGTGCTTACCGAAAGCTACTTAGATCATAAAGGTTGTGAGAATATGCAGAATTTGTGACCTAAGTTATCAGAGTTCAGTTTGTGATGTCCCTCCCGTACAGTGTGTACGAATTAAAAAATAATTACAGTTACAAACAATTAAATGAAACAGTATAGGCTTATGAGATAGGCGTATGCCTAAGTTGCTTCCAAAGAAACTTACCGGGTAATGAGTTCATTCTGTCACACAAAACATGATTACGACTACTAGAAGTATTAAGATTACTGTAATACGCAGACATCGCGCTTTTTGGATGTCCTTGGTTAGAAATGGTATCTGAAGGTGATCTTTGGTTGGTGGTATTTTTAGCTTCAACATCTTGATTAAATTTACTGAAATATCCACGCCCCAATAATTCACAGGTAAAACATTCACATGCTCCATTATTTGTATCGAAGAAATGTCTTCCATAGTATATGAAAATTTCATCTCCACACTTTATATCCATTTTTGCTTCCAAACTCATACGAGCATCTGCATCACAGTTGATTGTGAACTGAAAGGAGTATCAAAACAAAAGAGACATTAACATAACGTTTGACAATGATGTCTACTGGCTTGCTAAAAATAACTTAGTATGAATGAAGACTGGGAAAAGTTTAGCAGAATAGTGTCTTTTAGAGTAGTTTACTTAAACTAAGTACATAAAGAGTAACCAACTGAAAAAACGCATACTGAAAGTGATATAATAAACTGAAATAGCTATTCTTGTTTCCGATACAAAATTTTCTCCAGTGACCTTTGGTATGCTTTCTCTTAAGGTCCCAAACGTCTCAACAATAGTGCAAGTAACCAGAGTGATATCAACCAACTGACTAGTAACAGTACACAATTTCCGACAACACAGTTGACATAATGCAGACGTTAACTCCATACAGTTCTACCAACTGAAATGTATGCTAAACCGCTACCTAACCTATTATGTAATGTTAAATGAGATACCAGGTCAATGAGAAGACACTCAGAATTACCAAGTCTGAAATCAGTAACAATCTACGAAGCACTCAAAGCTTAATACCATGACTAAAAGTAAACAGCAGGGGTGCAGACTCATACACGACCCAACATACAAAGTAATATTATGCTCAGCTTCCTCTTCATCCATATTCACCGTCCCTCTTTTTCGAGTTTTCACCATAACTTATAACACTTAGCCCCTTCATGAACTTGAATGATCTGATAACCCATAACCTTACTTTCGCTTCTCGTCTTTCATTTCCCTGCTGGGCCATTACATGGTGAAATGGGCAGAGACACACCTAAACTAAGCCTTCATGTTGTCCTGTCGTGTTTTCAGAAGCACTTAATTCTACATACTTGACAAACAACACATTTAGTTACAACTTTCCCGCTCACAGAAAACAAGGCAATTACGTCACATGCATTTACGAATTATTATTATTATTATTATTATTATTATTATTATTATTATTATTAGCGCAATAAGTGGACAAGCAGACTGACCATAAACAGTTATCTTTGCAAGGATTCAGAGATAATTATCAAATGAGTTAGTGACAACTAAAAGCGCTCTCCAAGTATCCACTGTCCATATTCCCACTTAGATTTGTCACAGATGTGCTGATGGACATAAGCATACATAAGTAAAACTTCTAAAGGATTGACTTGCACACCGGAGGACATCTGGTTGATGATAGTCTTCTTAGGCGGAAACGCTGGCAAGTTGCAGACTTTTTGAGCGCATTGGGCGAAAATTTGAGTGTGTTTGGCATGTGTTTCGCATTTGTCAAATGTATGATGCTTCAAAACTGGTCTGCATCGATTCTTTGTCTAAGGACAGGGAGTGAAACGGTGGAATGCACTAACCACTTCACTACTTCAAGAAGTCCCATTAGAGCAAACGGGTTGATTTTTGACGAAATCTCAGCTTATATACAAAAGGGCAGTTTCGGCATTTACCGGCCTACACCGTCGAGATACCTAACCACATATTGACGGACGAGTATACTGTGCAGAGGTTGTCTGTCTCACTGTAAGGTTGTAAAATACCAGGTAGAAGAAGTAGGAGTTATCAATGAGTGAATAAGTTCTTGACTGCAGTTTTCTTTGTCGCATTTCTTGTGAGAGCGATGGTGAAGTTAGAAGTGGGATTACTGGGTAAGAAAACTAAGCCAGGCGATGAAGTTATAAACTTGCAGCTGCTTAGATTCTTTGGACATGTTTCGCATGCACAGCCATCACCTAGATCAGTGTGATATTAGCTGAAGTGTTGAGTTGGAAGGTTAAGGGTGTAGGTCAGACCAAGACGTGGTGCCAGTCTATGAAGTCTGACTGCTAATCTGAACCAAATAGGGAACTGTACGCTGACTAGTTGGGGTCCATGAAACAATAAGAATAAATAGTTGGAGATTCTTGGTGGTATGACTCGAAATCGGTCACAAAAGGGCGAATGTATCCACTCTTCGTCATCTTCGAAGTTTTAGACATTTCCGCCAAACTTTATCTATTTATGGTCTTACTTCTTTCCTAAGCCTGTTGACCTTTATGTTATTCATTTTCTGTCAACTTATATGCATGCTATCGCTAAGTGTGGGAGCTGGGACCAATGAACATCTTTCACCCATTTCTACGTTGATCTGTCGATCCTATCCTGTCCTGTCGGTAATCTTTTGACTTTAACAGAGTGGCTAAACAATAACAAAAAACACTAGGAAAAGAGCAAATAGATAGCGAATCCCATAAGATAGGTTCAAAAAAGGTTTAATTATATTTATAGAGCGTTTTGTATTAAAAAAAGAAATAGGGCTGCAACATGATTGCCACTGATTTTGACCTTACATCATAGTTGATAGTATCTCAAGCGATTGAGTGGTATGATCTCTCAGAGGACACCAACATATATCCCAATACAAGTATTCTTCATCCCACAGCATCCCATCCATAAACCGGTTACTTTTCAGCATCATTCAGCCAGTCCCACAGCTGGCAAACAATGAAAATCATAGGAGCTGCTGGAACACCATTTGTAATATATGTTCAGGTTGCTGAAGTAGGTGATCCTAGTGACTGCCGATCTTTATCAGGCCTAAGGATGCACCGCTTCAAGTCGGAATTACTTATGTGATGTTTTCACTGGACGTCAACAATCCTGATGAGACACTAGCGCTTGAACATACACAGATGACTAACATTCTTAGCTCAGATTCCAAGTTTCACGAACGAAGGGCAGAACTACTAATACCGAAGCGTTAGACACCCAACCTCATGCAATCAGGATAAACAAACAAAACCAATGTAGGACCCCGCGCAGAAGCGCATCGGTCCAAGTTACCATCCTTCCCAGTAGCATGGAAAGAACAAGTAGACGGAAGAAGATTGATATCAGAGTAGACAACGGCGTGTGAGAGAAGAAAAGATCTGAAGATAAAGGTTGGTGGAAATGATCAAGAATTGGGAGACGTTAACGAGTGAATACTTCTTCGCCACTGCAACCGATTTTTACCAATGCCACCAAGAAGTCGGAAACAGAATTCAATCGTCTCGCCAACCGCACCCAGGCAATCTACACCCCCATATACGGCTCCCACCAAGAGTTAGAGAATTTGCCGACTAGTACCATGTCTTGGCCTGGTTCCTTTGAGCACTCCCTCAACCTAATCCAACTCCTAGCATCGTATGTCAAGGTAGGTGGTGGCTCGATTTGTGCAACACATGCCCAAGTCACCTCAGTCACTGAAGATGAACAACTTCGTCAAGGTACTCGTCTATCGTATCTAGTACCCTTCACCTAACATCCAAATCACATACAGTGATTCCACCATACGTGAAGTGCTACGAAGACACCCACAGTCAAAAACTTGTAACCGCTTCATATATTCTACTTTCAACGGCCATACCTCACAGTCGTATAACACGGTAGAATGGGAAGCAGCGAAGTACAATCCTGCTTTAATAGGCAGTCGAACATCTTGCCAGTCGGCGTCACAGGTGACGCAAGTTGGCAAATGCCAAACAGGCCTTCTGAATCCGAGTTCAGGTTTTGTCAGCAACCAGCCAATTTAAACTGATGAAACTACTTTACCCCTTATCCTTAAACTAGTAGTTGTAGACCAGTCCTGGAGCATCATCTTACATCACAGGTGCGAAACGCTTGCCAAATATACACAGATTTCCGCTGAACGCGTTCAGTCCCTGAATCTTGTTGGAGTCTTTACCTAGCAGGACAGTATCTTCAGCATGCTTCGAGTCAACTACATGACCTCCAGGGAATAGTAAATCCCTGCGAATTCGGAGGTACCCTATATTGTCCATTAATACACTTATAACGAAAGTAAACAGTAATGGTGACAGCGGGAGTCACTGGCGGACACCACCAGTTGTCGTCAGTTCTGATGACAACTCTCCACGGCTACGAGAAGAGAAATTTGATTGATATTACATACTTGCTCAGTACTCTTATCAAAGTCAGACACTGTCACAACAACTCACGATCGACAGGGTTGAATGCCGCCTCCTGATCAATATGGCCAATAAGTATGCTTGTGTTTCATAACCTGAAGAAGGGTGAAGGATAACGTCACGATGGGGCCACAGGTGAGCTAAATTTGATCACATAGCTCTGTTTTTTTGAGACAGGATGAAGATCATATAAGTCAGTTCTTCAATAACACACAACCACTGGGGTAAGCAAAGTATCTGACTATTTTCAACGATTGACCCGCAACAATGTGTGGAGGTTTGAATTCCTCCCAATCTTGTGAAAGCAGTTTTCGCTCCAATGAGTGAAGCACATATGATACGAACAGAGATCGCCACCTGACTAAGTATGATTTGAGTAGCCAGTATGTTATCCAGCAGTACAATGACGACGATTGCATACTCATGGTTGGAAAATCTTTTTTTGATAACAGACCCATGCATACACCATGAGCTTTCTTTGAAGCTGTCTCCGATATGTTAGCGACGACAAAACTGAAGATGAGTAACAAAACCAGGCAGCCCTACCTGACTTTATTGTTAAATTGAAATAATCCATAGAAGTAATCGTAAGCTCGACCTGAGATTTTTTGTGCGAAATGTCAACAACTTTCCCCAAAACACCCCTCTAGCAGACAATTTAAGAGCTAAGTATTATCTAACAACACATAGGCAGTCCAGATATCAAGAAACGTGGTGTTTAGAGGTCTAACGGAAGTTTAACACAGAGTAGATGCACCTACCACCCGAATGAGAATCAGTTTGCTTCTCGTGAATCATCACTTACAAACTTGAAAAGTCAATAAATTACGAAAGCGATTGATATTTTGGACACAACTAGTGACACTGAACTTCGAAAACTACAAAACACATTACGCAGGCACTTTTGAAGTAGGGGAACAACTATACCTTCGTTCCAAAATGATGCGAAACTCAGTTCAAATCTTGTAGACGTAAACTGCACATTTCACTCAATAGTGTATGATTGTGTCTTTTATCCTGACAGTCAGGAAATGCAACAAAAACTCCACAATTCAAAGAATAATTTGCTCTTTTTTCTTTACATTAGCATAGTACACCTAAGTAACACATAATTACTTGAAATTTCGCTCGCTACTTCTTAAATTTGACCAGAAAATCGTTAGCAGATATAGCAAAAGGGAAGTTAGAAAAAAGATGAAAAGAATATGAACTAGTGATACCTGGAAGGTAATTAGACACTAACTGCTTGAACATATCAGGGTAGATAAAGTGGAAATGTAGGAACCCAGAAATCTATAGTAACTACCATCAACCTTCATGTATTTATTCTCGTTCGTCTCATATTCGCGTACTTTTTTCCTTCATTTCGTTCCACCGTTTCTTATCATACCACTGTGAAGTGTGGCAACTTGAACCAATGTATGTGTGTACCATGCTCTGAGTTGATCCATCTGCCTATATTAACTAATTTGACTGCATTAAAGCGAACCGTGAAGCACACTGAATTGCAGTTAGTGTTTTCCACCAAATCTCAAGACTCCATTACGATCTTTGATTGCATCTGAGTGCAAACGCCCCTGAAATATCTGCACGTTGCATACCGCCTATACTTAAATCCTTTAAACGATCAAAAGCTAAATTCTTTGGTACACTAAAACCTCATTTAATCAGGTAGTTGCAGTAATCTGACAGTATACACTGTAGTAATGTGATTTGACTGAGTTACTTATTCATGCAGCATTGCAGATACGAAAATGGGGAACTATGTTATGTGGTATAGACTGACATAGTTTGGGCAAGTATTAGACCCCGCCTACCAAAACAAACTACGCTAGAAAGAATAGACTGTCAGAAGCAGCCTCAGAATGGACAGACCAAGACATGGCAATACTGTCAATAACAAAATGGTTACAGTCTACACGGTGTCAAAAACTGATAACTGAAGTACCTAGTCTATATTGCTCAAAATCAACCGTTGTAAATGCCCACTACTTATACAGTTCTCTACATTTTTCTCTGTAAATAGTAAAATTTAAGGTGCTAGGTGTAGATAGAGAATAAAAATGTACTTACCTCACAGTTAGGATGACAGTCATGATTAACATACGCTGCAGGACCTAACCATAGTTGAGAGCAGTTTTTTCTAGAAGAATACATGACTGAGAAGTCATTCTTATGGTGCTTTAGGAATGCAGCCTCTTCGTGATGCTTGAGTTCAGCAATACATCCCACTAAAGTATTGATACGAGACCCCTTAGACCTATAAAATTATTCAGGAGAAATTTCATTAGTTTACCAATCTCGGGTTGCAAATATTGCAGCTCCTATATGATTTTCTGATGCATAGCGCCAACAAGGTCGAATTTCAATGCCAGAACGATCATCAAATAACAACAAGTACCGATTCACCTGAAAACAAATAAAGGTTTTGCGAAACATACATGGTCTTTGAATCGAGGGTCAACACTCCACGATCGTTTTACAATATTTGGGTCGGCTGTTAACTGATTGTAAGCTGTATCATAACACTTATGTTTTCGAAAGGCGTAGATAATATCACGAAACTTCCTCTTAATTCTGTCAGGAATCCTTAACTTCATGCTGTGAACGAAAAATATATCACTTTTAAAGACATACTCTGTCATTTTGTGCGTAGTAAAGCCAAGATAAGGATCAACAGTAAGAGCAGAAGCGAGATCATCAGCTTCAGCCAATTCCCTCCAATTCATTTGATGGCTTCCAGTAATATTTGGAATGCAATCCTTCTTTTTTGTCATATTCATCTCTGTTGCCGATTAACGTTTTTGTGAGTATTCAATGCGAAACATTAAGTAGGAAATCGGTTTGCTTAAAGAAGCATAAACGATGAGGGTTAGCTGTCAAGCTGAAGGACACGGCCAAAATGATTGCTTCCATCATACACCACGAAACCTGAACAAGGATTGGCACAAAACACACGATTATACACCGAGAAAAATCTACAGGAAACAATTAACATTCAAAAAGGCTCAAATGATATTTCAAACACACTAGGTATCTTCCACTGTTGACTTAAAAACAACTTCACGAATCACGCCCCAGGCACCTCAAATAAATGCCTTACATTTTTGGGGAAAACACAAAAGTTACATGCTGTGTGTTTGAGCCGGAGTCATAAGCTAGTGCGCTGGAATTCCTGTTAGAAGTACTTAAAATAGCAGCGATAATCCGGAATACGGTTAAATTAATGCACGTGTACCTGCGATGCTAGTACAGAAGATCTGGTTCGAACCCGCAGTCGGACATTATGTTCAAAATGTAGTCGGCAAGTACTACGATTCCTAAACTGTACTTTCCTCATGTAAATGTAAGTTCACATCGTGGTTTCTGAGCAGTCATCCACAAATAACTTACTACAATACATCTAACAGATATCCCTCTGAATTCATATTTCAACGGAGACTTTCAAGTCGGAGTGCTAGTTGAGGTTGATAACGGTTCAATGTGCTATCCAGTCTAACCAAAGGTTGAGAACTAAAGCGAAATCAAGATGGATGGGCTTAATTTCTGCTGAAATGTGCTTCATTCAAACCATAACGATGACTGGGTTCATCCAGATGAAACAGAACTTACCAGTTAATATGTTTTGCACTAAAATGAGGTGCGAAACAAGAAAGAGCTGCTCTTGTCAACATTTGTACTATAACAAGAAATGTAAGTGAACAATATTGTTTTCCATTTGTACTCACACTACTTATGTTTGAGACATCTTTACATCCTCTACTACATTTTGAATAGTGGATAAAGACGGTGAGCGAACTTATTTTACTCGCTCACTGTTGTCGTTGCATGTTAATATCAAGATACCTCATCTTTAATAACTCAGTAACTTCCTACGCAAGAATGCCATGAAGTAACATGTTAGAAGTATCTGAGATCAAGCATTTTAGCTGAACCGAAGAATCACCTACAGGTCGCATAATTGAAGGGTCATAACCTCGTCTAGTTTTATAATACAGATGAAGAAAAAGTAAGGTGGGGCTAAGTGTTGAATGAGTCACAGCACTTCGGTCCCACCAAGGGAGTAGTCATGCACATTAGAATAAACAAATACACTCCACATGTTTAAAAATCCGAATCAATTCTAGAGAGAAGACATTGAAAAAAGATAGAGTAGCTACTCTATCTTCACTTCTAGGAGTGTAGGAAATGCAGTATTTAAATAAAACATGAAGTGAGATCAGTGTTCGCCGCCAGCTGTCCCCACACTTTCCAGTATTCCGCCTAATTGACACTTATTAGAACTTTCTTTGGGTGGAAATTACTTCTGACTATAGATATAACCTTTATAACGCTAGCAATTGGAAAAACTGGTAGACCGATGATAAAAGTATCGTCTAAAAATTACCGCTATCTCACGTAATGACAACAGAAAGATCATGACTATGGTGTCGGAAAAACTTACACGTCACTGAGAAACACGCTCTTGCACTTCAATCGTGTACTCCCCCGGGCAGAAAAAGTCTAACCAAAATTACAAACATCCGATCTGGCGCTTGACGCCAGTTTAATTTGGGAAATTACAAATTTCAATGTCCAATCCAATAGCGCCTAGTTTTGACGAACACACGTAAAATATTTTGAGCGCATGTCAAGATGTACAATAAAATTCATAAGTTTCGTTTCTTATTTTATACGACAGTCTCAGACTTTGGCAAAGAGAATGTTTCATACATTTAAGCTTTCAAAATAAGGATAGCAAGACGTAGAACGTTGGCCTGGAAGGAAAAAAACTAGTGGTCTGAAGCCTCATACTGCAGAAGACGATCCAGATGCACCACAGAACCCAACATCATCCGACGTTCAATGTCAGTGTGGCTAATACAAGCAACTGATAGTTTCTAATCTCTTACATCTGGTCCTTAGGGCTCAGTTTCTGTTCCTTCGTTTGTTCTTGTAATGGAGAAGGAAACATTTTGTGCTTTCCTCTTATTAGCACTTTCGGGATGAGTGTTTTTGGGGAGTTTGTATTCGCAACGTGTAGATTGAGTTTGTTAGTAAGCTTAAGGTTACCAGAGAGATCAAGCGTCTTTCGAGGTCCATGTTTGTAATTGGGCCTAAATCAGTGTAGCAGGATAAAAAACTAACTGACTTTCTGGCCTCCGGATAAATCTACCGAAGGGGCTCCAACTGTGCACAGCATTCCACAAAGTACATGGTCTTGAACGAAAGAGGTCTACCTGAGCCTGATGTTGGCTTGTGATATGAATTCTGGTTTGATTACCTCAAGATGATCGCCGTTTAGTGGATTTGGTCATTCTTCTGGATGACTCGCCCGATGCATGATCTTATGGGCTATAATAAGATCAAGATGGTATGATGTAGCTCGATCTCAATGCCTCCGTATTTGTAACACTTACTTTCTATCAGTCCTGCCATTGTTTCCGCCACAGAACCTTTTACTTTCCCAGGGCGATCAGTGTCTCTCTCCAACTCGCGGGTTGCTGCACTGTTGAGGGCCTTCAGATCCAGCCATATATGTGGTTCGAAAACTGTTAGAAATAGTTCTGGAGTGAGAGCATCGAGCCACACGAACAGGAAGTGTAAAGTGGTATTCGCTCTGAGTGCCGTTCCTTAACACTTGGGCCTCATTCTCAAGATGATGGAGAGAACAAATCCCAGACTTTTCCGTGAGCACTTTGGTGACGGTGAGGTCCAGTGTTTGTCTATTGCCTCCAGATCATGATGCACCCGCGAGACAATGTCTTATTGTTTCGTAGTTGATCTTGCTGTAGCAAAGAAAGATGTTCAGTGTTTGGGTTTGTAGTTTCCCCGATGATCGAAGGAAAGGTTAATACTGCATGATGACTGCTGCGAGAGGTGAGTGGACCCATGTTCCCAGTGGGCGGAGTATCGTTCTTCAAAATGTGGTTTGCGAGCTGTGCACGACAATTCGACCTGCAGCATATGATATGACACTTTATGTGAGAGCCCAAGTGTCTGAAATGAACTCCTGAGCTTCTTACCGCAGGATCTGTTAGTATCTCTCTTTCTTCTCGAGGTGAATGGAAGGTTTTTGGACGCTGCCGGCGATGATTACGGATGTGCATGTGAAACGGGGAACAATGTGTCTCATGGAATGACTTCCGAAAACAACCAAAAGCCAGAGTAGTGAAGTGTTCAAGACAACCAAGAGCTACCTGCAGGAGGTAGATTGGTAGGTTAGAAAAGAAAATACTTCTGTTTCCTGCAGTCGGAAAGTATATTGATGAGGACATGAATGTTCGATAATTGCAACTAGATGATTGTCGCTATCTCATGGTTTCGGAAAGTACAATGTTTCTAAGGTTTCCAAAATGACATCTGTCCCTTTAAATAGTAATCTGTCTGATTTCCCCACAAATGTAAGGCTGACGTTTTAATACACAATATCTCAAAAGGTTGCTCTCGTTTGAAGTGTCCTCAAAAGCGTTTGCAAGTTACGGTTGACGCGAACTGGGAATATTCCCAAATGTTCATTAATATACAGCACGGGGACTTATGAAGGGTGGTTGTGTGCATTTAACAAAGCGTTTCAAATTATGGCAAGCAAAGCCTTAGCGACGCACATCAGAAACTCCATAATGAAGTAGCTATTGCACACAAATGATGGTAATAATAACAATATTCAAGGCAATTAGGTTAAATGGCCATCTGGTTCAAAATGGAGGGTCATCAGAAGCTCGGGCGTCAGTTTCGTGGTGGCGTTTCGTCCAGTCAGTATAAGAATCTTTTGTTCAAGCCAACCATCCAAGGAATAGAAATACGATGGATCTTTGTCCACTGAAAAGTCCAGTTCCACATAAAGTGACTTGTTTTCTCTGCCATGTTATCAACTGAAAAAGTAGAGAGTCGAAACCATTTTAAAGATGTGAGAGCGTGAATTACACGTTCATATGACATCTCTGAATGCTGAGGCGTTTTTCCTCATCTCCACTGCTCTCAAAAATATCCCCTGTGGTTTAATGTTTTATTGTCCTATTGTTGTATGCAGTAGTAGTGTGTACCTTGTAACTGTATATTATTGGCATACCATTAAATATTCATCCCGAATATCTCTATTTTGACTGACGTGGAATTTTTGATCTCTGGGTCGTAATATTGGCATCTTGTCGTGCTGTCATCGTTACACCTCTCAACATCAATATTTTATATATTTTCAAACTGACTAAATATCCTCATCTTAGTCTTAACCACAGTTTAGTAGCAAAGAAGTTATCCATGGGGGATAAGAAACATCGCCCAGTTTTGTTGCCATTTCATCTCGTAAGACTGCACCATTAGCCTATGTGGGCAGTCTGATACATTTTTGGTGGCCATCCAGCTCTCCTTATAAAAGAGGTTACTTCTCGACAGACTTCATCTGTTCGAATTCATTGTATAGTTTCTGATTCTCCCAATCCTCTTCCGCAGACATCAGGAGACTTTAAATGTCTCAAATAAAACACATATGGCCAGTGCGAAAGGCTTGATGTTCCCCGTAACTTAGCGAATCAAATGTCAGATACATCCTTACAAACTGGCACCGTAAATAGTTCATCTGCCGCAAGCCCCACACACAACCTGCTCGATGAACTGCAGCCTGAATCTAAAAATAGGGCAAATTTTAGTCCCATTATTTCTGAAATTAAATCACATTTAAGTAATTTTTCTTTCCTTTACCTCTTTATCCAAGAGTCCGGCTATAGCTAAATTGATCTTGAGGTTGTATCTAAGGCAGAGACTTTGGTTCACCTTATTTCTTCTGAAGTTACCAAGCGTGTTGCAAAATTCAACAACATTGTTGTCCATAGCGTTCCATTTAAAATACTTCTTAACTCGATCCACTCCCACCTCCTCGGACACTCGAATCTTCAATCTACTCCTTCTTTTTGCACTCGAATTTGGAAATCGCAACCACATCTTATCTGCTCCATTCTTGTTAACTTGGATTCATCAACAGTGACAGACGAACTCATGCATTTGCTGTGGAAGACAGGTCCGTGCCTTGATTAAAACATGCTTTCATTGCCTCTGACGTGACGGCTATGCAAAAGCGCAGGCGGACAGCCTCATGGATTGCATGTGGTGCTCGCTATCCTATTCTGACCCCGGCGCTCAGTCCCAGCCCAGGTGCTCAGAATTCGCCGAAACCATCAATCAATACAGCAGGTACCTCTGTGACCTGTCTTCCCACCAACAATGGTACCTCTCTAAACTCGTCGATAACTACAGATCTTACAGTCAAAGGTAGCCGAGTGATGCAAAAAAGCCTCCAACATATCTACCTAGAACTGTCAAGAGAGGTGCCGATGGAGTTCCTGTTGCCACAAACCCACCTGGAAAAGCCGAGGCATCTTCCACTCACAGCTGTCCTAACAGCAAACTGCCTATTGCAGATAATTCCAAGTCAATCCGTATAAGCTAACCCCGTAAACCGCATATGCGACAACCAAAACCAAGTCGTCTCCATTTTTGGCAGTGTAACGCTGTCACTGGCGATGGTCGCAGCCATTTGAACTCACCTTCATTCCTACCTCGAATAATATCTCCAACTTCGCTGTGCTCCCTATCTTCACACATCTCCGTATGCTAATAATTTTCTGATTCAAGTGGCTCCTTTATCAGTACTACAGCTTCCTACACATACCTGCCGCGTGAGATACTCGACAATCTGGTGAGGTCGTGCGCTACAATTCGTCGAATTATTTGCGCAGTGTCTCAGATGAACCCAGGACACCTAGACTGCGATTTCGCAACCACAGAGGACCCCCTTAGCTCAGATGTACTGACAGAAATCCTAGTCTAAAACGCTTACATGCCACCCCTTACTCGCTGACATGGTCAGGGAATGTTGGTTAGAGCATCGACTCCTTCTGTTAACTGGGAATCGCCAGACAATCCTTACGTGAAAGGCTTATGTTGCCCACGCGACTTTTTTCGCCTGATGTAATCAATTCATTTAACGCCACCCCTATTCCCGCTGCTTAATCGCCCATTCCTGAACCGCTGAGCCGTAATAAGTGCAAGCTTTGCAAAACAGGCCGATGCCCCCTGACCCGCTTTCATTTTCATGTACATCCACTTTTGAAGTAGGTTATATGATAACGAGCAATCCACTTCTATTTTCAATTACCCACATACTCTGCTTGCTCCAGCCTCCTCATCTCAGTCAGGTTCTTATCGTCAGTCAAACTTAATCTCCGATGGCAATCGGCTGAATCCTGATACTAAGTTGGCCTCCTCGTTCCATGTCATTTCACTCACCCCCTTCTGACCTTTTTCTGGCACCTCTTCTCCCCCTTCATTTCGCAGACTGTATCCTTGGAAGCTTCTTGCTCTGCTTTTGATGCACCTATCGAGAACATGAGCCTCCTTATTTTAAGGTTTCTCGAACCATTATTCATTTAACTCAACCTCGTTTGACCTTATCTTAATCAGTGTTCACTCCACTAAAAATAAACCGGCTTCCCTTCAGGCATTCTCCTCCACCTGTCAGCCCACTCCTGCCATTATTACAGAACCATGGTCCTAACCAAGTGTCTCCAGCTCCTAATTTCAGGTAGATGGCCATCTTCTCCTTCGGAGAAGCAACGAAGGCAGATGTGTTGGCGGCAGCCCCGTTTTTGCCTACTTGCACACCATGGCCCTCGTAATTGGTCACCCCTCCCTCGGGACTAACGTGGACTCTTCATTGCTCAGCTGCCCATACCAAACGAGCCCATCTTCTTTGAGCGCATTCATCGTCCACTCTGCGTTCGCCCGAAGTTTGATCAGGAAATATGCAAGGCTTTTGCAACCGCCTCCAATCTCTCATGTAACCGTAAACTTATCCGCAGAGGTCAGTATACCACGTGTTCAGGTATGCTGTCCTCCTGGCCCTAAATGATACGATGACTTGAAATTCTAAATGCTGTTGCTGGGGTTTGGACCCCTCCGTCCCCAACACGTAGCAGAAATGTAGTAAACCTCGCATTTTGCAATAAAATCGAACTATCTGATGTTCATGTTGGCCACAAGTTCAACAGGGGTGACCACGATCTTGTAATATGCTCATTTTACGGACTCCTATAGCCTTTCAACGGTATGCATCTCATCAAGCTCATGACACCTAGGGACTTTGATCACGCCACTGAGAACACTAGTTTTTTCATGCCTTGCAGAATGGGATGACTTCCTCTTTCAGGATGACCTTTAACTACTGATCAGCGCATTTTATCTAAACATTAACATCTTCAATGATGGGACTGTCCCCCCCCTCAAGGAAGCCAGTCGTAGGGCGAACTATTCGTCATACTTGCCCTCGTAAACGACAGGTTGGCTGGAAAACTCGCCAAGGCTCTTGTAATTCATCATGACCTACCTGCACTCTGTAAAATAACAGCCATTCACGTTAGCTGGAGGATATTCACTTTACAGGAGTCGGCTCGTAAAGAACTTGCACAAGGTTCCCAGAATACATTTCTGGCACTCAGCTGACTACTCAATAAGCGATCCAGATCCTCATATCACTTGGAAATTCCCCATAATGTGAATGATCAGTCCATCGTAGCCGATACTGCCAAAATTCTCGATCTGTTCAACGAGTACTTTTACCTTGGAAATGTCATCCCCACCAAACCCTTTTTCCGTGTACACCCTGTCCCCTCCAGACCTTGTTGCTCCATGAACTTCATCTTACATGCAAGGCGATAATTAACTTAAAAATATCACACGGTTCTGGTAGTGATGATATTCGCTCTCAGACACAGTGGGCTTGGTATCCCTTTGCTGCCCCTCAAAGTATTCACCACATCTCCTTTTACACCCCACTGTGCCTGGTGTCCACAAACTATTACGGGGGTGGTTTTTACCATTTTTATCTAGTCAGTCTCAATATGTCAAGTTTGATCCTTTTACTTTCTTCGGCACATTGACAGTGGCTTTATTCAAAGCAGTGTCTGTGGACCATCTCTATTCCTGATATATCTACCTGCCTTCAACATGGAGAGTCACCACTATTTGCGGATGATTTTACTGTTGCTTACAACCTCCCAAAAAGGCTCTCCGCACAACAGACACCTTTGGTATTGGGTGACCTTATTAAGCGGGGGTTTTGGACAGACTCCTGCAACTGCAGTTCAGCTGTGATAAAAATGGTCGTATATGCTTTGGTAGGCGTCTAAAATATGCACCCATTATGTTTTGTGGGGTCGAATTGTCTCAACTGCGGTCGATCCATGACATAAGACCTCACTAATGCGGTAATCTCACTTTCGCAGAGCACATTTCTTACCAGGTCCCCAAGACTCGTAAGCTAATTGGATTCCTCGTCAGGAATTTCACTCGTGCCAGGAGTAGGCTAGTGCTCTGCAAAGCTTACATCAGACCCCTGCTCGCGTACTGTCCTTTCATACTTAAAATTGAGGGAGTCCAGCGCTTCTCGTTCTCTGATCCCACGAGGGATTTGGCTGAATTCATCTGACTGTTTACATGTGGGAGGCAGTTCTGCACCATAGTAAACAGAGTAAGGTCGGAGTGGAGACCCTCGACGTCAGGAGCATCCCAAGGAGCAATTCTAGGACCGCTTCTGTTCCTCCTGTTTGTCAACGATCTGCCAGATAAAATATCCTCACCCATCCTCCTCTTCGCTGACGGCATAAAAATTTGGAGGGTGGTAAACGAAGAGGGTGATTGTACAGCGCAACAAAAGGACTTGCAGCAACTCGAGCTCTGGTCGTCGGAAAATGGCCTGAGCTTCAACCTGGAAAAGTGCAAAGCAATGCACATCAGTAAATATGAAGCAAGTAAGACCGACTTCCAGTACATGTTGAGCGACCATGCTATCACTAGGGTGTCTATGGAGAAAGGTTTGAGGCTCGACTTCTCCGACGCCTTGGATACCAGCCCCAACCACAAAAGCATGGCAACCAGAGCGAATGTAATTCTATACTTTTTCCGTAGACAGCTTGGTGCCCTCACTCCCGAACTCTTCCTCACCATTTTCAAATCCTACGTGCGGCCGCACCTAGAGGTCTTCAATACGGTGACTCCTCCAACACTCAAGACAGACTCTAATCTCCTTGAAAAATACAAAGAACTGCAACAAAATCAGCCATGAGGCTAAGGGGAAAGACGTATCCTGAAAGACTTAAGCACCTCAACCTATTTGCCTTGGGTTATCACAGTAAGAGGGGTGGCCTCATTATGGCATGCAAGATCATTCATCAGGCAGACCAGGCAAACAAATCATTTTTGCCTGCAACTCAGCAGTCTTCACGAGGAAACCCCATTAAGATAGCACACCAGAGAGCCAACACCATACTCAGGTCCAAATTTTTCTCCCTAAGAGTATGTGATTTATGGAATGCCTTACCGCCACACATCGTTATAGCTCCCTCAGTCAACTCATTCAGGAGGTGATTAGACAGTTATGTCACCTCGCATGGACTACCACGGACGTACTCAAGTAGTCACCAACCTCACTAGCCCCCAACTCCCTCCTAACTACCACTCACCATCTCCCTCCTTAATACACCCACACTACCTACCAATTCTTCTGTAGGAACCAAATCCATGCGACCATTCGCGCAGTTCCTAAATGCTTTTCTTTCGTTCTCATTTCCCTTTTTCACCCCTCCTTTTCTTCTCCTTCCCTTTTCTCTCCCCTTATTATTATTTCTTCTTTCTTCTCTTTGTTATTCTCTGTTCACTCTTTCACCACTACCTTACTGTTCTCTTTCAGGTACCTGCACAGACAGGAGCCACGGCAGTTCCCTAAACTTCCCAGCAACCCGTAGCTCCCTAATCACTCTACAAATTACAACTTACTAACCCAGAAAACATCTACCTAACCGAAGCCAAAAGCGAGAAAGCAGAGAGGATTTCCTCGTCCACTGCAGCAGCGAACCGAACAACTCGAACCAAGCCCTAAGAACTAGACGCGAGAGATCAAAAATAACCAGTTTTCTACGTTCTCACTACCAATATTGGATATTGGTTCAATAAACCGCGTTATGTTCGAGCGCGCGATTTGAGTTAGCTTGGTCAACACAAGTTCATGTGCTGTTGTGTGAAGCCATGAGTAAGCCGAATTCTGCCCATACTCTCCCCCCTAAAGAGCTTTCAATATTCAAAAGAGTTGCCGTAAGTTCTTTTATACTGCTCTACGCACATACATAGAAATATTATGATCAAAAACAGTATAAGAACGGATTAAAGTATGCTAAGCAGATACTGAGCAACCCCAAATTCAGTGAACACGGAGGTAAATATAACCTGTTGAATGGTATAACTGCTATGAATTTTTTTCAGAAACGCTAGCGATGAAAGGAATTTTGTTGAACTGCCTTGGAAAGAAAGATGAAGCCAGGGAATATGTGAAACGTGGCTTGAAGGCCAACATAACCAGCTTTGTTTGTAAGTTGTTGTTGTGTGATTTATCGTTGTAGGTTGGCATATTTACGGTTTGATTCATAAATCTGACCACAAGTATGAGGAGGCCATAAAATGTTACCTGCAGGCACTAAAGTTAGACAACGACAATTTACAAGTACTGAGGGATCTCTCCGTCCTTCAGATGCAGTTAAGAGACTACGAAGGATGCAGGGTATGCTATTTTAAAAAAATATTTTGTCAGGACATTCGTTACAAGTTATTGTTGTTACGGCCTAGCCAAAAGGCTTCTTGGATAGGTTATGCTTTGATACACCATCTGCTCGGAAATTACGAAACTGCACTTACAGTTATCAATGAGTTCAGAAAAGGCCAAAGCGAAATACCGGCTTTCGACTATGAGCATAGTGAACTACTGCTTTACCAAGCAATGATTATGCTAGAGGCTGGGAAAGAGGAGGATGCTTTAGAACATTTGGAAAAAAACTGCAATGAAATAGTCGACAAAATATCCTTGTTGGAAATGAAGGGTAAGTTGGCAAGTGCTGTTCATTTATTTCCAGCCCGAATTCTACTAAAGCTTGGGCGCTATCAAGAGGCAGCTGATTGTTCATGGGAACTCATTGATCGGAACCAAGAAAATCGTCCTTACTTTGAGCTTCTTGCTCAAGCGAATACTGCACTGGTTACTGGGAACACAAAAGAAGACTCAAAGCTGATGAAGGAAACATACGAGTCTATCATATCTCGGTATCCGCAGTCCCGTTTGTCTAAACGGTTGATTTTGAATTATTGTTCAGGTATACTTTCTTGTAGTTACATATTTTGTTGTAGGTGATGAATTTCTTAAGAGATTAGACTCTTACCTTAAGCCATACATTAGAAAAGGTGTCCCTCCACTATTCATACAACTCTTGGGACTTTTCAGTAATCCTGAGAAGTTGGCTTTGTTCGAGGAACTCTTGGATAAGTATCGCAAGAATATGAGTCATTCTGGCTCTTTGGATCTGGAAGAAAGCACTGTTAAAGATGTTCCCACAACAGATGTCTGGCTCAACTACCTGTCTGCTCAGTATTACAGTTTTATTGGAAAATATCAGGTATCATCCATCAAAATTATTCTAATATTTTTTAGAGAGCCATTGATGTTATAGATGTTCAGCTACTGTCAACACCTACTTTAGTTGATTTCTATGTGTTGAAAGCTGATGTCTTTCACGATTCAGGGGATTACATAACTGCCAGTCGGTGGATGGAGGAAGCCCAGTCGCTTGATACAGCTGACCGCTTCATTAATGCTCGCTGCACAAAATTCATGGTGGAAGCACACCGGCTAGAAGATGCTACTAACATGGCGTCTAAATTTACAAGAGTAATATCAATTCTTATCCTTAACTTCGTGCTTAGGGTACCACATCTGCAAAGGAGTATTTGTCTGAGATGCAGTGCATGTGGTTTTTGCTGGATAACGCGAGGGCACTCAAAGAAATGGGCAAGCTTGGTGATGCTCTTAAGCTATGCCATGAAGTACAGCAGGTGAGCCTCGACAAGATATCTTCACACGTGCGTTTTTGGTGTTTTCCCTATTGGCATAACCACATAAAATGTATTGTTTATCATATACACTCAGTTTTCGAGACAACTTGGGTTTTTGCTCGTGCATAGTGTTGAATTTACCACCGCCGAAACTAATCACGCGAAACGCAACGGAATTGTATTCAAACTTCCACGGCGATGGTAAGCAGGAGTTGCCACTAGTCCGGTTTCTATCAGATCTTTGGTAGCAGGTACAATTGAATCCATTGGACTTTCTGTTCTTATGCTTGTTATTTTAGCTGTTTCGTGCTTCAAAAACATTTCTCATTGTTAGTACGAGAAGACGCTTTGAAAAGTTTTCACTTGGTCGTTGCCGAATTCGTGTTTATGGTTTAAAAACTTATTTTGGAGTTGCTTGATTGGTTACCACAATTAACCCAGCTAACCCGTTTGTAATATGTGCACGAACTGACTATGCGCTTCATAGTACTCAATCTCGTTTTTCTTGATGCAACGTGCGGTTAAGCTACGTATACCTTTCTTTCACATTGTCGTATGAAGTTCCTCATATATTTCCATTATTGAGGTTTTAGATGCTTTACGAAGTCCATGTTTCCACCTGCATTTTAGTCATGACAAAACAGGTGTCCATCTTACAATAAGTTGGCCAGCTGAATTTATCCCCAGGTGTTTAAGTGTCAGTTTGCAGCGATAAATCCTTAGGCTAAAATTTTTTTGAATTTTCGTTAGGAGTATTTCAAATTTTGCCTTACATTCCTATTTGAAAATTACTTCACATCTACTTGCTGTATTGCGGTAATATGAGGGTAGGGTTAGAGTCAAACTCTGAAAGCTCTGATCATGACAAAGTTATGCGGAAATACAGGTTTTGGGGACCAGCAACTTGTAAATTAGAATACTTAAATTTATTTGACGCGTTTTGAGTATGTGAAAAAGCAAGCTTATGAGGTGGGCACGTTACAAGGGTTTTGTTTCAAGACAGGAGAATTGTGTTTATTTAAGAGTAGGCGAGTATATAAGAAATAGCTGTTATCCGTACATGACAACTGCATTTGCTTATGAGTTGAGGGGTAATTTGTTGGTCTACGTAGTTGACTTTCAACCAGCGTCCCATGCATTTGAACCCCGCTTCACCTGTCAAGGTTTGGGCAGTCAAGTAGCATCATCGGCCTTTGCACAGTATGTCTGGTCTATTGCCTAATGCACGAATTTGCATGTAGTTGCTGAGAGTTTCGACATACTCTAGTGATAAGAAGATAAATAGTATTTAAAACAAATGTTTGGTCCCAGTATAGCTTCACAAGACTCACAGGTTGCATACTTTTGTGGCAGTACTGATAAGTCTGGCTTAAACTCACCTCAAACATTATGAAAACCCATGGGATCTTAATTAGAAAGTAATTTTTAGTCAAAGTAGTCACTAAGTTAAGGACTGACACATAACTGCTGGAAGCTTGCGACTATTGATTGCATTATCTTTAGTAAAATACATTGGCGTGTGTGACAACACTATAATTTCGTATTGTTTTGTGTGACAAAAGACAGCTTCTGAAACAGCCGAGATGCATCTGGCTAAGTTACGAGCAAGAGTGTGTTGACATGAAAGTAAAACATCTATACTCCCTGTGGCTTATTGGTCCACAAGGTTGACTTCTAACTGTTGGGCTACAGGTTTGAACCCTATACAACTAAGGTTCGGGAAGTCAAATAGTATTACTAGACTTTGGATAATAGTTGTGACTCTACATAGTTCGTGAATGTACTCGTGATAGTCGCAGTGCATTATCAGCATAAGAGGAACGAAAAGATTTGTTGATAAAGTCTTGAAAATTTGGATGAATTTATCTCCAGTGTGATCAGTTTGTAGCTGTGTCCCTAATTATTGATCGGAAGCTCCTCAACGACCATAACGAGGTAGCCTAATTTTTCCTGCATGTTTTAAGCCAGCGGTAAAGGACTTTATGATATGATATCAAGTATTGCTTTGGCCACCCTTCATTTTATCAAACGTTCTCCTGCTTCGGCTAAAATCACTTGTCAGAGTATATGATAGTTTAGCATCCGTTACACATGCCCGAACAACCTCACAGGTGCAAATTTGCAGCCTCATCATGTGACTTGCATTTACCTACTCCGTCCCTCACTTTTACATTCCTTACTCAGCGGGTACATTGCAGCTGAGCCATACTATGAAGACAGCTGGTCGGAGACATGCAACCTGACACTGACGCCAGTATTTCATAACCGCAGAGTTTAACTAGGGATTTAGTATGTTATTAAAACGAGCAAGCTTAACTGCTACGTTCAAATGGTATCTGCAGATCAGGTTCTGTTTTAAAATGTATGCAACAATGTAACTCAAAGTACGTGCAGGTTTCTGCGCTAGGTAATAAACTACATTTTTTTTGCTTCCTTGGTAATAATGACTTTTGATCTATTAACCAATGTTCACCATCGACTGTTAGAGTTCAATAATTGTGTTTAAGAGAATATGACTTTTCACGGAGTCTTAGCTTTTTACAGTTATTTTGAAGTGCATATACGGTTATTTTACCTTGCTTTTAATCTCTTGTTCAATTGGCTTGTTTCTTTATGAAAAAACCGCCATAGCACTACAGAAATATTCTTGATGATCAATTGGACTTCCACTCTTACTGTTTACGTAAAGTTACTCTTCGAGCATATGTTGAAACACTACGGTTAGAAGATCGTTTACGAGATCACCAATCTTATTTTGATACTACCCAACTCGCTGTCGAGGTAATTTGACATATTTGTGTTTTTACTTTTATGGTGTAGGTTAATTGTAGTTTTGGTTGTGTAAATCCTATTTCATATTTTTGTCATTCGTATATCCGAAGTTATTATTCTCGTATTGGATGCTTCAATTTCGACTTTTTTTCTAGCAGGATGCTTTTCTTCTAGAGTTTGAATATGCATATGTTTCACCAGTCATCAGAAATATATAGCTGTTATACTTGAGTGCAATCAATAATATGCTACTGCTAGAGTCCTTCTGTATGCTTTACTAATTGAAGTATTAGTAATATAAGAGAAAACACCTTCACTATAAGTGTCCAGACTTATGTCACAATTTACATGCGATTTATTTAGGCTTTTTGATTTGGTCGACATGTTTCAACTATAAGTTTTCGTATGTTGTGTATACCGTAAGTGCTAGTTATGATGGTTTTATAATTTAAATATTTAAAACTGATGAGTAAGGAGAAAGAGATTTCAAAAAGTTTATTACCAGTCATTGTCACTAAGCAGTAATCGGTCAAGGTCCGTAACTAGCTAGTACGTACCCAGTATGGTTGTGGTTCACTAGTCTGTATGGTTGACCTTCAACCTGTGGGTCACAAGAGTGCAATATATTGTATGCAGGTTTCAGCAACTTGTCAGTATTATAACTCTCATACAGTAGGTACTTAGTTATCAAGTGTTTGAACCTATATATAGCTGTTAACTTTTGACTACATGAGTTCATCATATTCTACAGTTCTATGACCGTACAAAAAACCATTCACTTGTAAGTTTTTAAATTTCTCAACTGACGTTGAATTATGGTTGAAACTACTTTCGAAAAAATGTAAGAGAATAATTGCTGCATATGCATACATATATAAATAAATGCACTTTAAAAACCTTTGAGATTTAGGTAAAAACAAGACAAGTCAGGGAACCTACAGAAGTAGTAGATGTAGTGTGAATCAGCAAGTTTGTGCAGCTTTGTGCGTCAAACCGTGAACCTTATTTATTGTGTGAAGAGCGATGTTACTAGTTGGCTACGTAAATCTTAACAGTTCAAACCGGTTATCCACCAAAAATCGAAGTCAGTCAGTAACTCCTCTTCCTTAAAGCTTCCACAAACAAGTACTACTGCGTCATGTTCAGGTTAAAAACAGGTTCATTTGTTTTTCACATTACCTGCACGAGAAATATATTATTTATACTATTTTGGACTTATATACTTCATCATTTCATCTACAACCTGATTGTTTCATATTCACTAGCTCAAAATTTAAATTTCGTTCTCTAGATATATTTGCAGTTATATGCTCAACCGATGGGTAGCAATGATGAATCACCACATGGAGAAAATGGTTAGCACTTTTTGAAATTGCTTTTTACAATATGAAAAACTTGACCTATTGTTTTATAAAAGTACAGTGTATATTGTTTATGGCGGCTTCGCTATATTCGTTAGTCAGGAAATTTTATTTTTGTATAAAGTACGAGATTAGCCTGTGAAACCTTGATGTCATTTATTGTGTTAACGATTGGTATTGGATTAATTTCCTCATAAATATCTTGTTAGACCATTCTCAAAGTAGTATCCACCATTACTGCGTATTTTTTCTAATTGCTACCCCATGTCAGCACACAATGTAGAAAGTAGAGAGAAGTTAATTAGGTAGAGAAAAATGCATTTACGATCGGTTCCGGGTTTATCATTGAATCTTGTCTTCTGAACCTTGTGGATTCTGGCACTAATTATTTTCCGTTGTAAAAGTACCTTGATGACCTAATACCACACTACTTTATGCCTATATATGTATTATTTTTGCGTGTACATGTCTCTTTAAGATGTGTAGCCTTCCGTCTTACAAAACATGCAGGAAATGTATGCACTTGTTATCTTAATGGATCACTGGTAAATTATTAGGCACCCGTCTTTACCGATCCATTCTTGTGTCATGTTATTATGATTCAAACAGATGACTTAACCTTTGTAATTTAGGTGACCAATCTGTATAACATTTTCCACCATAATTATGACTTGCTTCTGAACGTTTACAGTACGAAGAAAGTGGAGTGTCTTCTTGGTTTATTTGAGTCAAGTATATTATTTGTAAATAATTGATCTGACAAATAATGCTTGTATAGTATTGTATTTTGAAGTTAATGGGGATTTTGTTTCTAAGGAAGTATTCATCACGGATTGACATCAGTTGGAGAACCATTAAAAACTTAGGAGCACTGGACAGCTGTTGCGTACTAGTATGGGACTCCTCGGCAGTACGCACCCAGTGCTCCCAGGTTTTCAATAATTCTCCAACTGATGTCAGTCGTGATGATGAAAACTGTATAATATTCATATCCATCAAAGATCGTGTATTATGGGATGAATCGATTCATTATAAAGGTACTGTAGTGAGTAACTACATGATGACAAGTCTGTAATCTGGGTAATGTTTCTAGCGAAAATACCGCTCGTCATAACACTAACCGTTAGAGTTTGTTATTTGTTTTTAATTTTGAACTACTTACAAAAATATAAACAATATTAGGTTTACCGTTAGGCTAAGTAGAATGCATAGATAGTTATAAACTAACTTGGTTTAGGATAAGTTACAAGTGTATTTACCCGTTTTTGATACATTTGTCTTTGCTGCTAAAGGTCTGCAATTATTTGTGTTACCTACTGAATACCATTAGGGAAGTTGTCCCAAAAAGTGACCCACGAAGTAACCATTTAGATGTAACTTTTCGCTTTCAGTTTTATTTTGACCACATTGAAACGTCTTCCACTCTTGCACCCGAAATAGTGCAGTGCATTAACGTGGTGAAGGTATTAATAATGTGTAAGACGCATGCTCCATTGATTGGATTGGATAACAGTTCACAGTCTCATTTATTTTACTTTCCTTATCGAGAACTGTATATGTAACATCAATTCCCACCACTTGATGATTTCACCCTATGCAAACAAATACCTCTGAGACCTTTGGAATAAAGCAGTTTCCTTGTCTACTTTTATGGTCTGCTTTTCATACTTCTAGGTTGAATCAGCGAATACATATTTTGTGTTTATTTGGTATTGAACCATTTTCTGCCTGTTTACCAAATGTTATACTATTACTTATCAGCAGCATCCAGAAATTCAAGTCTTAATTACTATGTGATGCATTTGGGCTTCAAAGTGAAATTACATTCAACAGGGGAGTTTTGGTGGCGTGACTAAAACTCCATCCTATCGAGGCGAATGCGCTTACTCCTAATCACTGACATTATGAAAATTTGCTCATTTTCACGTATTTCTTTTCTATTCATACACTTTGATCTGCATTATTGTTATTTGCTACTTACTACTTTGTTGTTTATAAATTTGGCAAATTAAACTATGCACTTCTGCGTAAAATCTATCTTTCTACTTTCAACGAACTGAACTTTTCTAAGATGACAAAGGTGGTAGAAATCAGTGTGTATTGCCCTCACTTTTGCCTTCCAAAGATTGGTGTAGTCTGAAACATTGCCACTAAGACTACTAATGTTACACTTGAACTTTTTGATTATTTCCAAGGCTCATCACCAATGCAGTGTTGACGTAGGTTTCTATGAAATTTGCGTTATTTTTGCTACAATATTAAACGACATAATATCTCATGATAGGGCCATGGTTACCAAATGATCATATTGTTATCTAGCTAACCTGTAGGCTATCCGTGGCGCTTCGTGATAAGCTTGGCGTAGATGACAGTTTCTCAGGATCGGTATGTGTTTATCTTAATTTCGAACTTATGAAAGGTGTAGTTAGTTGCAACATACTTGGACTCTGATTATGAATATCAAAGATGTCATATTTCAGCAAAATAGCTTTCCAGTGTTCTCATCAAATATGTATGTTTTATCTATTGTGAAGTGCTAACGGTAAAGGCTGTGCCTAATGTCACATAAACTTGAAGATCTGCAGGCAAAAACTAACAAGTTGATAGAAGAGGCAGCGAAGACGGGACTTCAAGTGAATATAGAGAAGACAGAGGTGATGAAGATACCGCATCAACAACTCCAACAACAACAACAACAAACTCCAATCACCATGAACGGGAGAAACTTGAAGGAAGTAACCTCCTTCACTTATCTAGGCAGCACTGTTTCAACTACAGGCGGGACGGACGAGGACGTCAAAGTCAGAATCGGAAAAGCAAGACAGGCGTTCATTAGCCTGAAACCAGTGTGGAGATCTTCTGCACTCAGCATGCGGAACAAGATACGGATTTTCAACACCAACGTGAAGTCTGCTTCTGTATGGTTCAGAGACTTGGCGCGTCACGAAAGGCATTTCCAATAAACTACAGACATTCATCAACAACTGCTTATGCTCGTTACTGAAGATCAGATGGCCAGAAAGAATAAGCAACAAGGAGCTCTGGGAACGAAGCAACCAAGAACCTATCACGCAACAAATATGCAGGAGGAAGTGGAGATGGATTGGCCATGCACTGAGAAGGCCGACGGAGGACATCACGCATCAGGCTCTCGAGTGGAATCCCCATGGGAAGCGACGAGTTGGACGTCGGTGCCGAGGGTGACATGGAGGAGGTCGTGCGAGCAGGAAATGAGAGCTTCTGGGCTGTCGTGGGACCAGGTTCAAAAGATCTCAGAGAACAGAGGTCACTGGAGGCGTGCTACTAAAGCCCTATGTTCCACTAGGAGCCTAAGGGACTAATAATAATAAAAAAACAGTAAAGGCTAAATGCATAATTAACTCGTAATGCTCATATCTTTCTGCCCTATTCCTCAGATCTCATCCTCGGAATTTCTTTGTTGCCTACAGAAAAAAATGCTGTGGTACTCCAACGGGTTATAATTTGCAACTTTTGAACAACTAGGTGACATCCCGGATCGCTGTAGCTGTAGCACTAACCTGTACATCACTACTAAAATATTTTTATGTATCACTAGGAAAATTAATGGACTGAATACGATTTGAAGCAATTCATCTCTTTTATGAATATAGATAATGTAACTGGAAGACAAAGTTCATCTGAACAGTGCGATGTATTTGCGCAATATAACTAATCTGATCACACATTTACTTGTCAAGTTGATTTATATTAAACTGAAGAATGAATGGGGGGGGAGATGGGTAGCAACTCTGACAATTAAGATAATAGGGGATTAAAATTAGGAAAGGTGAGTACAAAAGGGAAGAGTGACATAGTTAATCCTGATATTCGTAAGAAAACAAAGTTTACCAAAGTAGGTGTAGTTTTTGTACACATAAAGGTAGTTTCAATTTGTGTATGGATATCACCGCAAATTTCAGTATGCGTCCCTGACTGTTTCTTTTAAAGTGAATGTGTAATCAGATTGTTCAAAATATATTGCGCAAATACACCACATATTGTTCAAATAAACTTCCTCTTCTAATTACGCCATCATAGCAACTTTGTGATCGGATATTCTTGCCATTTCAGAATGAGAATTTGTGAAAAGTGTAAAAGGCAAGGTGTAAATTTAAAAATACAAGTACTTTGGGCATTTTGCCATTTTTCTTTTCCTTAGAATCCGAAAGAAGAATCACTTCAATTGAAATAACTACACATCATAGTTCACTTGAAGCTAGTCAAGTCATGTACGAAATTGAAGTAAAATCATATTCAAATGTTTCTCGGTATTCAGTTGGTTGTAAACTTATGTTTTGGTTGCTACGTGTTAAGTTAAAGATCATTTTCAAGTGCAACCCTTTCTACTGGGATCTTTTTTCTTATGAAATACAGAATGTAAAAGTGAAGTTGAAGTTTAGATAGTAATCAGTGTTTTTAGATGATAAACATTGATAGTACATTTGAAAAGCCTGTTACTGTTGGATGCTGTAATATTTAGTTTTAAAAGTGACCTAACTGATTATAGTATAGAACACTTTAACATGCTTTGAAAAATAAATTTATGCATCATATTACGTTAGTTGTCATTTGACAGTTGTCCAGAATATCGTTCAATATCTTGCTTATTCGAAGAATAATTAACACTTGTAAATATAAACGAACTTTCTTGAATACATATTCATGCTTACTGTTTTATGTATACATTTTGTCAATAGATGGTATGTCGTCATCTGAAGCTAAAAAGTTACGAAATAAACAAAGAAAGGCTGCTAAACGTGCAGAAGCTGAAGCTGCTCGTGTTCGAGCTGAACAGGAACGTCGGGAACAGGCAGCTCGTTCAAGACAACCTGCATCGGAAGAGACAAATACTGAAAGCCAGTCGATTACAGAAAATGATTTAGATGCAAATGCTTTAGCTAGAGTAAGTGTGTAAGCACCTTTCAAATGTTACTGTGGGTGTATTCGTCTGGTCATCATTATAACCTAAAATACACATCAGTTCCTGTACTTTGAACGGGATTTCAACTGCCAATAGCCATAATTCAAAATAAATACTTAGATTACTAACTGTATTTGACTATAAAAACAGCAAAAAAGTTTGTCAGGAAATCACGCCAAGCAAAAGCTACAGACCGCAGTTAAAGTCACTAGTTCTTTTTATAGGTTGGGGTTATGAAGAGAGTTACAAATAATTCGGGGATTACATTTCACCTATATATTTTCATACTAATCCAGAGATTGCATAAGGCATCACTGTAATACTTGTTAATGCATCTCAGCAACCATGTACACGTCCATGCGGCCACACATTTTGTTGGCGGCTAATGATACTACGCGGCTGTCAAAACCTTAGTAGGTGGGGGCGGGCTGCGAGCTCGTGATCCATTGATTTAAAGTCAAATGAGTAGACCAGTGAGCCACAACTCTACTGAGTTAGTAGTTCAGTTATTGAGTCAAAATAGGTAAATCACTAGCGGAAAAAGGTTCGCAATGTATTCTTCTAGTTACTAGGGCTTTGAAGCAATAAACTACACTTTAGTTTTGTCTTTCTATGCTAGGTCAGAAGTGTTGATAGCGTTGTATATCTAATGTATCAGACTGTTTCATGACAGTCTCACGTCTTATACTTATTAGACGTTTAGCTGTTGGGCTTGTAAATATCGTACTTCCTACCGAAGATAAATTTGCGAAGCATACTCATATAACCTTTCACTTCTGAGGATATAATTTATCCCGAAATTGTCAATAAATTTAAAAACTTAGCTTTGTTTGATTAGAACCGGATATTAACCTTGCTTGTATTGGCTTGATAAGCAACTAGTACTAACTATTAAAAAAAGTCTAACTTCGAAAAATCATGTCCCTAAAATCTTTTTTATTGTTGTAATTTCTGAAATCCTGCCTTTTTTTTGAAGCAGCTGTGTGGAGAAATTCCACTTAAATGTAAGAGAAAGCGAAAGAGCGATAGACTATCATTAACAACCTTCCATCTACTGACTCAATCATTCTCACTACTAAATATGTGGATTATAAGCCCAAAGTATAAAGTAAAGCTTAAGTATTAGTATTTGTACTGGGTGATGATTGAAAGTGAAATGAAAATTTGGACTGCGGCCGGATTCGAACCGGCGGCCACTGGGTTTCCTGCCCGATGCTCTACCTCGTAGCTCAGTTGGCAGGGCATCGGGCCGGAAACCCAGCGGTCGCTTGTTCGAATCTGGCCACGGTCCAAATTTTCATTTCACCTTCAATACTAATCTGCCAAACTGCGGCTATCTCAGGTAGTCAAATGATAAAAAATAAGTATTAGTGTAAAGTGCTTAGACCACATAAGGAAGTAACTTATGTGCGGTTAAATGACTGTTACTGAAGAAATTTACTGGAAGAAACCCTTCGATAAATAAGAAATAATATGTTTGAATACGAAACCTATGCTTTCTTTTCCCACTTCCCTAGCCTTATCCCATGGTTTTTTGTGTTACATAAATTATCTAAAAACCATATGCACTATAAGTCAACGTAGTCAAAAGTAAATACAAAGGTTTTCAATTATCGTATTTTCTGTGAAACTTTCCCGTTACACATGAATGATTTAACCGGTTTCGTTAACATTTCAAGTACTGGTTTTGCTTTGCATCTGTTTGATAGTATCCTTTTCGAATTTGAAGAACAATTCATCTGTTGAATCTTCTCGCCTTCAAAAAATATATATTTAAGAGTGGTTATCTAAATGTCTGACAATCCACCTTTGCGTCTACAAATGACTGAATCAAATCTATTGACACACACTTTAAGTGTCCATCTTACTTATTCGTGCCATCCTTCATTTTCTGCCGCTATCTCTTGTCTCTGAAATCTTAATTGTGTAACGCATGTAGGAAATGTTTGGCTACCACAAAAAGTCAAAATGATTGCCTAAATTGTTTTCACATTGTGATACGATTAGCGACGGAAGAAAATGCAGGTTCACTCTGTTTCAGAGCATAAATTTTTTATAATTCATTTGAATTAATAGTCACAATGTTAATTTTCACAGCTAAGTAACTGTTAATACTTTTTTTTAATAAACAGCCTGAGGATCCATTGGAAGAAGCGTGTAAATTTCTTCTTCCTCTGTTAGAATTATCACCTAAAATCATTGAGCCTTATTGTTTGGCTTTTGAAATTTATGAACGGAAGCGTAAGTTACTATTTCTGTTCGAAAATTTATTTTGTTCTGTACACTGAAGTTTCCTATGAAAAAAACCCTGTATATTCTTTCTTGGAACAAGTTGTACATACTATTTTACGTAAAGTATGTTAACAGCTTTTCTTCTTCAGATAAGTAAATAGATAAATTGTTTAAATATTTTTATATTTGAAAACTTAAATCACTTTTCAGACATCAGTAGTAAGTAACCGAGATTGTGATAACATCGCTCAGAATTACTGCATTATTGATACATGAACTAAACACCTGTCGTATCTTACGACAAAGCGTTAAGTGTTTAAATATTGCTTGTGTTTAGTCTTTGCATCAACCATGTAATTGACGAAGAAGTGCTCATTGTAAGCGAATGCAAAATGTATACTTTGTATCTTGATGTTTTTTACGCCTCATAAAACAACGTAATAAATCGTCTGAAAAAGTTGATGCGTTGCTGTTCACTATTTTTTGGTCGACTTCAGACAGTAAATACCTCTGATTCAATAAACGTGCTGTGTGGATGTTATAGCTTTGCCACAGTGATTCTGAGTACTGACTGAACTACGGGCCAAGTATACCACTGTAGCGCACTTTGGTTATTACTTCTTTGGAAATAATCATTTCCCTTGGCACTCCAGATGTGCTCCTTACTGACACATGCCAACAAGCGAGAAACCTTGATTCAGGGATTTCTTACAATTAGGACCAAACACTCAACACATATACACTAAGTAGAAGTATCTACATTAATATTCAGCATCTGCTGGTACACCAACCTCTACTTACAGATAACCAGTTCCCATACATGCCTAATCATCGTAAAGATTTTTGAAGATAGAGGGTTAGTTAGCAAATGATTATGACGGTGAGTTGCATGTCTCATTGTTTTCTAATAATTCTGGTAAAGTACGTAGTTGAGCAAAATATTTCAGTGGTCCAACTGTTTTATGATTACTCTTGTACGTCTAACACAATGTTCTACCCAGGTATCAGGGTATCGTTTTCCGCAGTAATGAAGCTTGCATCATAGTTCCATTACTTTTTTTAACACTTTGTATGTAATAGGGTGCTTATATTATTCACTCATTATATGCATAGAACGAAAAATATTTCTGTGAACGACTCTGTAAAGATTCACGGGGAAGTTATTTCAAATAGTTGTTCGCTCAAATACTTACTTTGAATATTGAGTGAGGACATTGAAATCATTTTTGTTAGAAAACATTTAAATTGTAGTCGTCGATTTTTGATATTTCAATTAGAGGTTTTAATTTTACTATCATGGTCGTTAGCAACTTTTACCCCTCTAATTCGTCTTAATTTTGGGACCCAGAATCGTGATCGAGCTTCAGGTATGATAGCTATGAAATTATTGTAGGTCATTAGGTGAGAAATCATTAAACGATTTCATTTTTTAGCGGTATTAAAGCTGTTGACATCATGTAAGTGTAAGTACAGTGCATTTCTCCCTACTTATTCACACTCATATTCATGAATACACTATGAAATACAATAGCTAGAGAGATCTCGCACATTCTGTAGTATTGTCCGCATTATTGTGACTGTTGGAGAAAATAGCGAAATGTAATGAACAAAACGTATTCATGCTGTCTACTTCAAGTTAAAGTTTCATCTTTCTTTAACAACTGCGAAAATCTCACTGGTAAATCCTTTTTTTCTTCGGTAAAATGAACGTTGAAACTAATTTTTTGGAATCAATTTTATGTCATTAATTTACGATTTTAGACACATTGTCGACGGAACTATGCGTGAACATTAATGCAACTTAAGCATGATTCACTTTTTTGAACAGCTAGTGGCGACGAATCGTCTTCAAGACTAAACGGTTTCCATTTTCATATTTGTCTGCAAAGCACATGTTAGTGAAATTTAATTTGCTCTATGTTTTTATTTTGAACAGGGAAGTTTTTACTCATGTTGAAATGGATTTCTCGTGGTCTTCAATTGGATAACTCTTGTAATAATCCATGGTTTCATGAATGCTGTGTTAGATTTCTCTTGCAGCTATTCAACCGAGGGAAATCTGATGATGTGGTTGGTAGAGTGCTTTCAACTGAAGCTCCTAAGTTGTTCGATAAGTGGCCAGAAAGCATTTCTTTGATAAAAGATTTTAATGAGAAGTTTTATGAGCGTAATCGTGACCAGTACCCTCACGTATTTAGATGTAAGTGCTTCATTCTGTGATATTAGACAGTTTTATATTGCTCTTTCTTGGTGTCCAAGAGTATATAATTCAATTTGATATGTTGTTAAGTCTTTACGACCCAAGTCGAAGCTGTAAGAGACAGACCGATCGACAGACAAATCGCGCAAAGCCCATATATAAAACCGCATCATTTTAAGTCGCATTCCTTCACAGTACCATGTAAAAAAGTTGTTTTGTGTTGAGAAACAATACATCTCAAGAAATCAACCTGAAATCAACGAGAATTCAGTTATCTGCGATCACAGCATATTAAAATGTCCAGCCGCATAGTGCATTTATAAGTGGATAGCATAAAGTCACACTTTTATTAGTTCATCTGCGGGTCCATCCTGTAGTAAGTAATAAATGCACATAAACCTTGTGCTGTTCCTCATGAATTGAAGTGCGATTTGTTAGTCGCAGGTTTGGCTCATCGAAACGAGTATCCGAAATCTGTATCTATTCACCTGCCCATTGTTTGGTTCCAGTCAGAAAATATGACTATGACACTGTATGTATGCTCTTTGAAACCTTGTTTCACAGGCGAAGCATTCGATTGGTATCAGTCAGGCGTTATCTTAGGTTTTGCTTAATGAGAAATCGGAGTATATTCCCTATTTTTAATCTATGTTTACTGGTCAATCAAAACCCGTGATACCAGTCAAATATGGAAAAAGGCTAATATCGAGTAGGAAACCCGTAAACAGGGGTCTTTTAGTTTTCTATGCGAATCAATGATGTATAAAAGCTGTTTAGTGTCTTAGCAGAAGATTTTCAGTTTTCACGAAAAAATAAGCAGTTTTCGACTATATTGTTTCCACTATATCTTAGTGACAATAGATACGGATTTCATAGATAATATCTGATAGTTTTCATGGAAGCAACTGTAACAAGGTTGTAAAAGTTGGAAGTTATTCGATTAATTTAGCAGCCGGTAGTCGCATTGACGTTTACACTATCATACAAGCTAGCAAACCGAATAACTTTGAGTTTCTTAATGGTAGGGACTAGATTCGTTAAGCAGTTAGCATAGATAGTTTTTCTCCATTTGGAATAAGCATAAGAGTTAAGATGTGAGTACAACAGGGAAAATGTATATTAAGAAATTCAGTGAAAATCGAAAAGTATCGTGTACGGATCATTGATAGTATCAATCAGCTGTATGACAATTATTGTAAATTTAGTTTCTGTTTTTGTTCAGTTAGCAAATGAACACTTTAGTGATGAACGTATGTATTGTTTTCTACACCTACCATTTTCATTTAAATGGTGATAAGTCGTTTTTTTTGAAAATGAAATTTTGTGTATATTCAACTGTTGACAGTGTCAAATATATTCTCTTCATTTAGCGACTCTTGTTTGCTACTAAGTAAATGGTGTTATTATCGTTCTGGTGATATTTTCTATCTATTCAACACATATAGCTAATTCATTTGAATTCTGTTAGATTATTTTGAGATTAAAGGAATGATAATTCAGTCAGTAAATTGAAAGAATGTTACTAAGACATCAATTTATTTGTCCTTTACATAAATGATAATGTTTGATCTTACAGATAGGTCTATGATAATAGCATGAATAACTGGTTACAGGTTGCAGTCTAGTTATTAGGCATTAATGTAATAAAATGATTAGTGTTTATACTAGACAATTGTCAGAATGAATTGACTAACTCATTGATTTAACCTTTGAACCATCAGCTATTGTGTTGGAATCCATTTTTCGAATCATTCGTCATGCAAATAAAATGTTATACATTGTGTACATGCTTCATAGGTTGGTTATGAACTATGTAGAAAGCTGTTAAGTTTCAGAAAATAAAATCTACACTTACACTTTGTAATTTTTAGATGGATAGTTGATAGTTTGAGCCTGTACATATTTACTCAGAGTTCTTTGTATTGTGAATCTGATTAAGTTACTATTATTTCATTGATGTGCAGCTTTGTTTTCTTATAAATCACTTCAGTGTATCACCACTCTTTCTGATATCTCTAGTGTTATTTTACTTTATTTAAAACACAATCTTGGTACAGCATGGATACCAAGAAATTGCACCATACAAAATAATATAACAGCATTAAGAGTATATCAAACTAATGGAAATGGATAGGAAGGAAAAAAACTAACCTGGTGACAGTAGAAGTGGATTTCTGGGGAAGGAGTCTAGGATATGTCTATAGAAGCTATTATATTACCTTTGTTCTACTTTCCACTTACTGACGAAGCATAATACCTACAGCGTGATCACCATTAGTTTCGGTTCTGAGCCATATCTGGTAACATCTCCAGTCACTGAGTTGTATATGTAGACTGGCTGGCTAGGGTCCCCGAGACGATGGGAATCAATAGTTGAGGACTCTTAGTAACTTGGCGCAGATGTATTCACTCTTTGACATCTTTTAAAACTTGAATATTCGCACCAGGCTTTATCTTCAAATTGTTTATTCTCTCACACAGCTTTGTCTACTTTAATACTAGGCTTTTTCTATCCACTCTTTTTTGTATGCTACTGTGAAGTGATTTTGTTTATCTATCTGACTGATTTGTATGATCTGTTGAATATCGTCTAGAGAGTTTTTAGTTGCCAGCAGATATTAACCCAATAAATCTATTCTCTATCCCGCGTTGCATCACTGTACACTGATCACCTCTCCACTTTCAGCCAATATAAGGGCAAGCAAACAGTGAACAGTTTTTGAGTCTGTGAGAGAACATTCTTAGCACATGTTCATGCCTCTGAAACCACTTTTCAAGATGACTCCTGTCAATGAATGATAATCTCTATCACACCTAAACATATGGCGCTTCACCTCAGAATTATTCACATAGTGTTTCCACTAAATACCGGTAGTCCTACGGAGACACTGGTGTTCGAACATGCAATACCAAACATCTTTACGTCAGAGATATTTCAATAATAGAAAATAAAACTCCCTACCCTGCCACGTTGTACACCCAACGTTATACAATTAGGATAACATCATGTCGGGACAGAAGGTGAGCTAAAATGGTGTATTCCACTTCAGCTTTCGGTGAACATCTCCAGTAGCCCTGTCGCAACTGCCGAGGTACACAAAATTTTCCACTACTTTCAATGGGTGTCTCTAGGGTACAGATAAAAGTTTCTGCCGAACTTGTAAAATCATTTTACATTTTGATGGTGTAAAGGATATATCGTACTTATGATCACTAACTGAAGGAGTTTTATTTTAGTAGCCTGTGTGTTGTCGCGTAGTAAAGCGATATTGTATTGATGGTCGCTGTTCAAAATATTTCTCTTTGTAGTGAATTTTTAACTTCACCACACCTACAGAACTGTCTCGAGGATGTCATCGTTGGTGAAGTTAAATATCAATGGCGAAATGTGACACCCTACCTATTTCCTCTGTTGTTTTGTAGCAATGAATAGAGGTGATGCCCTCAATTTACCTGAGGTGTTTTGTACAGAGCCTTCTAAATGTCAGCAAGATCTTTAAGGACACCTCTCTTTAACCCTATCCACCAATCTGAATACAACCCTGCTTTGCAAAATGATTACCCATCCTATATATGTGATGACGTTCAGACGTCTTTCGCTATGAACGAAATCTAACCCTGTAAAATACACCAACAGCTAATATTATTATATTATCCTGTAACAGGTCGGTGTTCTGATGACTTGTACGTAAGTTGCGTAGATCCTTTTTAAAGATGAGAACAGCAATCTCCTCATTCTAGGGGGCTATGACATAGACTGCTATATTTCAAACAATCTAGTCGATCCTGTGACTACCGCCTTACCTCCATTCTTACATAGAATTGGTGTTAAGTCGGAGTCTGCTGCCTTGTCACGTTTCGGTGCTTAGAGGTCTTTTTAAACCTTCGCCATGTTATGTTAGCCAGTGTCAAAAAACCAAGGAGCTCAGGAAACTAAGGCTTAAGCTATTGATGCAGTAAGCTAGCTTCATTGCTTCTCAAAGTTTTTCAACCGAAGCCCAACGTACCTTTGAAGATTGTTGGTCTGAATACCACATATATCTCAAGTCGTCTCAATGACACTCGATTTCCTGCTTCAGATAGCTTGAATAAGCTAAAATAACCGTTGTCTATTGCTAGGTGTGGTTGCTGTTTTCATCCTACGTCGACACTAAATACCAAACCTCGTTGTCTTAGCATCAGCGTAGTTTAGTCTTTGGCATAACTATACAGTTGTACTGGATCCCTTTTAGAATGTACGATCGTTCGTCAATAGGTTGCAACGGACCCACAAATGCCTAGTATTTGTGAGTATGACATTCTTCAAAGCTACAAGCAAGTTTATTTGTTACTTTCATTGTGTCATGTAAGTGCAACCAATATTTATGTATACTTTCTAAAGGTTTGGCAATTTGTTTTGAACCTTGCTAGACTCGGTATGTTGATGCAGTATTGTGTGCAGCGAATTCGATGTGCTTACTTCGACCTGTTCGAGATGACTGTCAAAACGCAAGAGCAACTTAACACACACTGAAGCGTGATCAGAATCCGAACGGACTCTTCAGAAAAGACAGTAGTTTTGAATTCATCCACAGTAGTAACGAACTGTAATATGACCTCTTAAAGTTCATACTTTTCATTGTAGGTGATATCAGGCAAAACAATGATAAAGATTTTACTAGAATTCGTTGCTGGCTAGAAATGTATTACAATCCACACAGCTGCACAGAACAATTTTTGTTATCTGGACTTCAACTTACCAACCCTCTTCTGATCAACTAAATGGCTCTCCCCTGTGTATTCAAGTCCCTTGATTAGTGATGAAATTTATTCTTGACTGTTTTTGGGCTGTAGTTCATTTTAATACTCTCAGAAATGATCATGAAAAATCCACTCCCTTGTCAATTACTTCCTACTTTAAACGAACCTAGTCTAGCCACATACGGATAGCTGTTTACAGGGATTCAGTCAATCAAGGTAGCTTCGATTCTAGCAATTGGTTCGATGCCGATACTAGCAGAGCTGAATACCAAGGCAGTATAGTTCATAGATAAGCACACATTGAATGCGATTGTGGATATGACAGATGCATAAGTCTTTTGGAGCACTTGACTAGAGCATTGTTTGTGGGTTTCAGTATCCATGAATAGAGTGGAGTCTTAGTTCAATATATTTTTTGTCTCATTTTCTTCAGATTTCGAACATTAAAGGTAGCCAGCTTAAACAGTCCGTGTGGTTTTATGATTAATTGTTTCAGATATCCCACTACAGGTCAGCTGTGTAAAAGCAACTCTTTAGTCATTCTGAATAGTACAAGTAGACCAGAGTGTCAATTAAAAATGAGCAGTGGAGTGAGAAAAAGATTCAAATAACGACAAATTTGAAAATAAAAACAAGAAAACAACGCAGTTTATGTGTCAAATTAATGATGGTGTAGTAACAATAAACTTGAATGATTGAGTGGTGATTTTATGTTCAGTTGCTCGTCAAAAGATTTGATAAACGCTTCAAAGTCTGCATTGCAAATTTTTTTCTATGATCTGTTCTTTCACAAAAAAAAAAAACCTTATTAAGAATACCAAAGTCAGATTTAGTTGAAAGATTTCATACATTTGTTTCTTTTCACAAATGTGAATAGCACAGTAAGAACAAATTTCACAGCATACATTGTATTTCAATGCCTTGTCTTCATCTGCTTTCGGATTTTTAATAGTCAGTTGGTGAAGCGGATAAAGAAGAAGGTACCTAAGAATTTAAAATCTGTAATCTACTGCAAGTCATTGGAAAAAATTAAGGTATAAGGTTAAGGTGGATTGGTACAGTTCATTCGTATTAGTTATTGGATTTTTGAAATGTACTGCGTTAATGTAGATAAGGAAATACAGTTCAACTTCAAATTCAAGCGAATTTCCCAGATTTTTGTTATTTCATTCTGTCAGCTGAGTTGACATGTATCATTTTTACGAGTTGGCATGAGAAGACATTTGGACAAAGTGTTTTTTTTATCTAAGTGATTTTGAAACGTAACAGTTAGCAGTTTTACGCTTTGTTTCAGACTATCTTACTACCATATCCACACCCTGTCAGAGTTACTAGTAGGAAGTATTTTCTTCAATCATCGCGTCGGAAGTAGAGGCACTAATTTATTTCCATGATCAAAATCTTTAGTGTGTCAGTCCATATGTGTTTATGTGAAACGTATTCATTCATGTACTCTATATTATAATGTCGATCGGAAGTCGGTCTGTAACTGAACAATGATGGTGTGTCTCATTTTAAGCTTTTACTTAAAAAATATTAGTTGTAAAGAAACCTTAAGCATTGATGTTCCATGCAAAACTCTTCACCTTTTCTATTTCTATATAGTTAGTGCATTTGCAGACCAACTATTACTCTGACTTAATAGGTGTTTCACTGTAGTCAGCTTATTGTTTGGACTTTTATATGAATCAAAAAATAAGCACACTTGTCTCAAAAGTTTTCACGAAAAGCGTTATTTACTCAATTCATAAATAATCTAATTGTGATAAAACATCATTGATAATTTACAAAGCGTTGTCTTGAATGGTACAAATTTTAGAGGGATTTGGGCACTTCGTGTATGACGTTAGGAAAATAATTGTATTTCACATCAACCAAATGACACTGGCATGTGATATTTCCATGCACAACTTTGTATTAGTTCGATAAGAGACGATAGTTAAAGTAACTCCTTATAATCATACTTTGAATGAACTTTATTCTACTTTGCTGTAAGTTATGACTCTTTAGAGTCTTACCTTTCATGTTCAAACTCAGGGTATTTGAGTCTTTTTCGTGGTCTTATTTGTTATTACTTGGTGTCGTTTTTACTATAATTCTTCCATTATCCTTCTTACTTTCAGACACTATAGCTAAATGTTTGATTGATCCGCAACATAGAGACGACTACCTTGCTTTGATCCCATTACCGAACAGCAAATTACAAGGTGTTACCTGGCAGGTAAGTGGTGGTTTAGTCTGTTTTATCTGAGAACTATAGTATGAATAATGAAAACGGTTCAGTCGCACCATTGTAATGCCACTTGTGTTTCAGTACAGAACATTATGAGGAAGATATGTTCAGGCTTTTCTATATGATAACGATTTTATCTGTTTTTCATTTCTTTCCACTCAAATTGTTGGCAAAGTACAGATTACTGTTTTATTCGGTATTCCAGTGTACCTAAGACATTTTGCTCTTATGTTTTGTGGAATGTACGTCTCCAGCTAACCGGTAAAAATCTTTGTGTTTACTTTTACAATTTGGTTACAGTGGAGAGTGACATCAATAGTAGCAATTAAGAATATTGTATACAGGCTTATATGTTTTAATTGCTTTTCACTGTTCATTTCCTATCGCTCAGCTATCTTTTTCACACTCGTGCAGTAGGCAATGAACCACACCTATTGTGTGAGGGCTAATGACTCCCCAAATCTCGATAGTAGAGGTGGACCCCTGCTGTAAAAAATGTTGCCAGATTTCTTGTGTGCATTATTGTGCCAATGCATCGGGTACATAGTGAGGAACACAAACCTAATAGTATACCTTCTTTCCCTGGCTATTAATGCAAACCGTCATTTTGTATAGCGTTGCGCAAAATTCAGTCTGTCGAAGTTACCACGCTTTATAGCAGAGACAGAAACAGAATCAGTAGTAGTGTAAAGAATCAAAGCTAAATCGCGGATAAGGTGTTCAGAATGTAGAAATGTTGATTTCGAAGCTTATGACTGATAATCTGCAAACATTTCAAATGTCCATGACAGACTATCAGTTAGCCACGTTATTATATACCGGCACCACATTCTAATCTGGTTATGCGTTTAGCTTACTGTGTAGTTTTGAATATTTTGATTTTATAAGATGTAGTGATGCAGCCGTTTCAATGTCTAATTCCTTTTTTGTTGTCATCTGTGTTCGAAGAAAAGTCAACTGACTGTAAGACTTTGAGGAAACGAAGAAGTTTCACGTGCTCGACCACCGTTACATTTTTAGCGTAAGCTGTGTGTCACCACGTTAGTGACATTAAAGTCAAGTGTAGAATCTTAGACAGTGAAGTCAATTGGGAAGGCTGTGAACCTTCATCGACTCAGGTGATTGGGGCATGTGCTGCACATGTCTAGTTATCGTCTACCTTGTCGCACAATGTTAGCTAAAGTATGTTCGTGCTGGAAAAGGGTTAGAGGTGGTTAGAATAAAACATTGGCACTAGTCCCTGAAGTCTTTGATTGTTGATCTGAGTCGTGTAAAGAAATGTGAACTTCTCCGTTTGTGTTCACGCTATATCAGAAATCACTAGTTGAGGACTTTAGATGAAACGCTTCGGAAACGATTTCAGTGGTGGAAGCGTGTCCACACATCATCTTAATCTTCATGTTGAATTTCATTATTGTTTTATTCATCTTCCTATGTTTTCGCGGCTTCCTGCCACTTCTGACTGCTTTCCTTCTTCATGCATCTTCACTCAAGTTACTGATATGAGGTAACCTGGACGATTACGAAGTAGTGCCAGGCACCATGTCTATGTTATCTCTCACAAAAGAGAAAAGCTAAACTAAGGGTTTCCAAACATTTCTTTGATCAACGTAACGCTGAATATAATATTGACTGATTACAACTTTTTAGTCGAAAAGAACTTCATCTTGTCAAGGACTTATTAGTCACATTTTAAACACATTTGAACATTACATGTAATCGACCAACTAAAATGGAAGTACAGTCTACTACAATGTCCACGTTTTACACTTTCACGTAAATTTTGTTACATTTCTGATTTTATGAAATCGTGAAGTTTAAGTTATGGGTTTTTGGGAGTTGACTTTTAATCACTTGATTATGAGTTTGAATGACATTCCGCTTACCCAGATTTGGCTAACCAGTTAATATCATCGGTCCCTCCATAACAGGCGTGGCTCATTGTTTAGTGAACAAAAGCCTGCATCTTAGAGATTTATCGTTGTTCATAAGTGGGTTAATCAGTTACCATTACCATAATCTTCAATTGCATTAATCAGTCAATTAGTGCCAACATAGGATCTGGCATTACTGCATATCGATCCAATTTGCTACAGCTTATATCAGCGTATTCAATCAAAGGCGCATCGAGGTCAAATGTAGAGAAGTAAGGAGAAAGCAATCTGAAGTAGTAGAAAGTTATACGAAGGGAGGAGAGGATTACAAAATGATAATGAAATGGATATGATGATTAGGATATTGTGTAGAGGCATTTGTACCACAGGTTGATTCCGAGGCATATCATCTGATATCTTTAACCATCGATTTCGGTTGTCATGTGAACCCCAATCGAGGTCTGCATTTACTTACTCAGCCTAGACCAATAGTCAGAGACTGTGTAAACTAATGCCCTCTTTTAACCTCGCCATTTCCAACGTTTTACAGCGTAAACCTACTTCAGTCAACATTGTGCGATGGAGTAGATGGTGACTAGGCGTAATATATGAGTCGATGAATACTCACAACCTCATCAGCCGACTTAACTGTTATGTCCAAAACCCTAAGTTGGACTTCCATACTACTGACGTGGTGGTATCACAACACAGCTTATACCGCGAAGGCAATAGTGGTGGGACATCTTAATTCCTCCCATATTTTCTACTTGTAGTCGCCATGTTTCCCTGCTGTAACGTAGAAAAGAAAAAACTTACACCACAGTACACTTGACTCCTGATTGACAATCGGATATTGCTACGACACCATAGTTGGTGTAAATTGTTGGAAACCAAGGCACTCTTTTGTTTTTGTTCCTAGGTTACATCAATCACTGGTCCACCAAAGCTAGTCGGACTTCCCACGTAAGTGAAGTAGTTAACGCACTCAACCACTTCATTATCTACTGTTAAACGGGGAACCAATATGGAGCAACCATTTGGATTAGAATGGTGATAAGTGCATCCTAAGCACTCAAATTTCTAATGAAGGTTTTCAGAAGACTTTTCATCTTGTCAACATCTTTACATAACAGGACTATATTCTGTGTACTCTAGATATACTGAGTCGCCTGTGTGAAGATTAATCTCGGTAAAGTCAGACGGCTTTTACTTTTGCAGGATACCACTGTAAATATGTATCTAGTTTATGTTGACGCTTCTACTCATACGTTTCTTCATATATGTGAAGTAAGAACAGATGGAAATGAGCACAAACTTTAAGCTTAAGTATTGATTTTTAGGGAACGGTGACTAATGATATTTCATTTTTCCTATGTGATCTCTAGCAAGTTGATTATTTCCATAATGACCATGACCATTGACCTTGACCTAATTATTCAGTTGTTTGGGTTATCATATTGTTTGTGTGGTGCATAAAGTAGTTGAGCTGATATTATTTTGCTAATTTTTGCATTATTTAATTCTCATTGTATTCTTTATGTGATTTTGTACAATAATATCCTGTGTGTAATATTCTTTAAATTTTGTTTAGGTGTGCAGTTCATGTTTAGATATCTTACGGAGAGGTCAGTGGACATCTTTAGGTCGTTGTGATCCGTCTATTATAGAGAGATACCGAATCGCGTGTACTGAGTATTTTCCTATGGCAAATGCATTCCTAACAACTGCACAAATTGAAGCATTACGCCTAGAAATGATTGAAGCAGCTAATTCATCCGCTGTATGCGGTATATTCACAATGCCAAGTGACAAGGATCAACCGTTAGATGTTAGTGCAAATCATGAGAGTAAATTATCAACTGAGTTATCTGGAATGACTATTGAACCTAAACCAATGGTCAATGGAGATCTGAAAGATTCGGCTAATTGGATCCCAAAGTCCTGTAAGAATGCTACAATTGGCAATCAGGCACAAAATGTCGTTGTTTAATTTCTTTTTAAGCACACTTGAATCTTTGCCAGTCAATTCCTCCTACCAACCTTTTATATATATATATATATATATATATATATATATATATATATATATTCAGAGGTTTGTACGCACTGACTTCATTGTATTTCTTATTGTGCTATAGTATGTGTACACTATTGTAGAATAATGTCTTGACTCGTTTCTTTCAAACGAACTTATCTGCATGGTACTTTATTTCAATATCTTTGCTGATTACCGTTACCTATAGCTACTATTTCTCATTTGTGCATAAAGCTGTCCCTTAAAGTGCTTCTTTTTATATTTTCCAAATTTGTGTACAACAAACCTTCAGTCTATTGTATATGCACAGATTGCATACTTCCTAACCCTTTTCAACCCTTTTGCCAGATGACTTGTTGATAATTGTGATCACTATCAGTGTATTTACACTAGGTGAAGTTAATGTGGTTGTTTATTTGAGCCATAAATCTTTAGCTTTTTCGATTGTTTTTTTTTCCTACGGATTTTCATTTTCAGTGGGTGGGGAAACGTCGTTGGATACATTGTTTTATAGGCTAAACCACAGACTTTTGTTCATCATTCACATGTGATATCGTTGAAGTTAAATAAGCCGTGTAACTGTCTCATATAACATTTCATTGTACAATTGTTAACTTCAAATGCAGTTTTGGTACTGTTATAGGGTACAATAAGATTGCCAAGATCTTCATAAGAAGCCATAAATCCCTGAAGCTTTTTACAACCAATCGTTTTGCTTCGAAGTTTTGACGGAAAGTACATAAACCAAAGCGTAAATACTAGATTGACTGAAGACACAAAAATCAATAGGATATTTTATCCCAGAAGGGCTTAGAAATAGTTAAAGTCGTTGTTAAAATATATAAACCTTTGTACTTTGTATGTTTTGACGCTGCAATACACCTGTTCCCATTACCGCCTTTCCCATTTACCGAGTAACTGAGCAACCATTAAGGATGGGATCTGAAGGTACAGATTTGGCACCAAGAAATTTATCGTACTGGTTATATGACAAAATGAAGTGTTAAAAAAAGGAAAGTTAATTGGCAGTTGGTCCCATTCGTGTTACTTTTCGCAAATAGAAGACACAAAAAAGTTGCGGAGTGAACATGTGGTTCCAATTCTGAGCCATACTTGGTATCATCTTCAACCACCCAAACTGTTTTGAGGCGCCAGCTCATACTAACCCAATGCAACTTTTGTCCAGTATATATGGCACCAATCATGATAATCGCTGCTAACAGGTTATCTTCGCTTTCATGTTCACACTTTAATTTCATCAGAAATTCTTTTCTAAAATTGCTCAATAAATCGCTATTTCTAAGCACTGAATTGAATTTCGTTTCTCTTAATTATTATTCATGAGATGACTATTACAACCAGGTAGTTTTTTTTTACTATAGACCCTAGAATATTGCATTACAGCATAGATTTCTGATTTTCTACAGATTGATGTTAGCACTTGTTTAACCCCTTAGCAATTTGTTGTTTCAAACTTTATGTTTTGTAGGATCATATTCGTCCTAGTTAAATGGGTTTTTCCGGTCATATATACAAATTAGCCACATATTTTTTTCATGTTTTCACTGTTAGAATTAGATCTACCTCTTGTTTGATTGGATCCCTTGCGATTTAGTGTTATAGTAAATGATGTATGCTTAAAATATCTAAGTTTTTAAATTGCCAGTTAAGTTATGTCAGTTAACCACTTATAATATGTGATATAAAACTGGAAGCCTATAGAGTATCGTTATTCGAAAGTAGACATTTTAATGCAAAAATAGAACACATTGGATATTGTGCACATACAATGGTGTTGGGGATTTTTCTATTGCTACAGTGGTGAAAATATTCGGTTGGACTTGGTTACGGAGAAGACATCAGCATTAGGAAGCACTCCGCTGTTATTTGAGCTTACTAAACGGGCTGACATGAAAATGATGGTCAGTATAACCACAATGGGGAGCTGTGGTTGTGTAAGATGTCTATCGACCATTGGGCCATGGGGTGGAGCCCCTCCCCACCTACCGAGGTTAGGGCAACCAAGTAGTATTACTAGCCCTCACACAATGGGTATAACCAGTTGCCTACTATACAGACGTGCACAAGGTAGCTGAGTGCGATAACTACAATGGAGAAAGTTAGGTTCTTTCAGGATGGGTGCGTAAGGTACTACATGGAAAAGTCCAACTGATTTAGTGTACATATGCGCATCACCGCACAGCATTTGGTATTTATTTTTTCCTGAGGTGGCTGAAAAGAGTGCATCATTGTTATCGTACAAACTAAGGCTCAGCTTGGACTTATTCACATTTTGTGGGACTTAAGGGAAAGCTGCTCACTGGAGTCTACGCCTTATAACCCCATCTGGAAATGCTATCCTTAGAACCGCCCTCCATAACGTAACACTTTCTAGAAGTTCTAATGTCTTTCATTTAACTTCTGACCGTATTGTTTGACTTGTCATTTGGTGTCTATAATTGTGGTGGAACGATGAGATTGGTGTGAAAATAACCAACTTTATATTTCTGAATATTTTGGATTACGATCGTTTTCGTAGGTTAATGAATTACAAGGTTGTCAACCTAAAATATTTAATTGCATGAAATTATAATTCCCCAACACTTAAACTAATAAATACATGGGTGATGTGTTGTTGTTGTTGAGACTACTCAGGTAGACATTTTGTTTAAATACCATGAGTTTGATCCTTCTAACCTCATGTTGCTCTTCACTATAGCGAGTTCGTGGTTGTTTGAACGGATTTTATTATCAGCTTCTCAGGACTAAAACATATTGGTGTAGTGGAGTTTTGGTGAACTAGTGTTTGTATGTTTCCATTCAGTTGTCTGTTGCTCCCAAGAATCCTAGACCAGAGGCAATATGGGGTTTTTTTCGCAAAGAGATTGTTTTCGCGCTCAAATTTTGTTGTTGTATACTCCCTTCTGTTAGCTATTTAAGTAGATACTAAGGAGAAATAGGTTTAAGTGAATCTGTACTTTTGTGAAATTCTTGTCAGACCTTTTCACCAAATTCAATATTTAACACTAAGGCACAAAGCAATGAGGCGATTTTTAAAGTTCTACATCAACTTATGTATTAGGTGTTCCACACAGTAAGTAGTACTGTTTCAGTTCGCGGTACGTTTAACAAATCAGTTGAAATGGAATTCCACTATACTTCGTGTTTAACTCTTAGATTTTGAAGGTTGGCATATCTGTCTGTTCACTTGACTACTTTTGGTAATAAAGTCAACTAACAATAAAATTTTACCAACTTTCTGTAAAATAAACGAAGGGATTAGTAAGTATGGGGAATCATTTGTCAAGACTGGTGAAAACATTGAGATCATAGGATGTACCGTAATAACTGCTAAATACTGCTCGAGGTTGAGGTGAAAAACTAGATACATTCCGCTTGACTTCAGGTTGGTATTCATCATAGAATGACGTCAGTTAGAGAAACACTGGGAGCACCGGACAGTTTCGTCTTAGTATAGGACTTCTCAGCATTGTGCATCCATGATCTCTCCACGGATGGAACCCAGGACTTCAGGTTCCACGGCTGGCACTTTGTCAGTTGGTTGGAATCAAATAGTTCACATTTACATTCCATCTGGTCTGTTACTTATCCGATACCATCAAACTTGTTATGATCACCTTCCAATTCGCTAAAGATTTTCGTTAGGCTAAAATGAAGAATTCCTCGGTAGGTATGGGGTTTGAGAATGCTGAGCCGCACACTAGCAGAATATGTTTGAAACCATCAGATAATTAAAATGGAACTATACTCAATTCAACAGGATAATCTTATTACTTGAAACAGACAACCTTTTATTAGGGGTCTGCGACGGAGACTGAAAAAGTACCGTTGAAGTATCAGGTCCTTTACTATTTTCATGAATATCATGTAAAAGCAGGCTTCTTATTTCGAACATAGCAGCTAGCCGTATTTTGGGATCCTAGCCATATATCCAGCATAATCTTGAGGATATTCCAGTGAATCAGCTCTGCAAGCATTTTTTGGTAGTTTCAGTCAATGTGTACATTTAATAATAATAATAATAATAATAATAAATTCTTGCAAATACTAGCACACGTCGGTTTACAGGTATGATTGCATAATTATACCATTTAGTTTCCTATGCAGGTAATGCATTGATAATCTGAAACAAATGACTCTATGTTTAACATGAAAAGGAATATGTTAGGGTGAAAGCAAACTATCAAGTCCCGATGACTAAAAGATTTAACAAAACATAAATTTCATTCTCTAACCAGTTAGTCGAGACATGGCCTATCAAATATACTATTTTTGCCTAGCTATCCTGTTGTGTTGTTTTTTATCCTTTCAATTCTGGATATTCTACGAGAACTATTGGTTGACCTTTGCATCTGCTCAGTTTGGGTTAGAACATTACAGCAATTGTAACTAACAAGTATCAACAAACTTAACCGACACGTATTGCCCAAGAGGTAGCTTTCATGCTCAGTAAGCAGCACTTTAGCACTTAAAGCGATGGACGCGGAGTTCCGGTCTCGGGGACAAAACTACCACTCATGAGGGTGCAGGTACATCCAGTTGACCAGTTACGAATGGAAAGAAACCTGCGTCCTGGATTCTTATACAAGCTACCAAGTAAACGACATTATGATGAATATTCATGCAGTATGGAGATGTCCGTATAAATGCTCAACTGACAACAAAGGTTGAGAAATTCAACTCAGTTTTTGCAACGGGAATATAGAAGTATCAACAGATAAGTGCTAAACCACCATTAGCTCTGGAAACCAGTTTCACTTGTCTACCAGCATGTCAGAGGATTTGAAATTCATCCACAGTCTGTCTGTTGCGGCTTTTGTATAGATCAGCGTGGACGCCTTCGTTAATACGTCGTAGAGGGCTCAACAGGACTGAAAATATCAATCTCCAAATCTTGATTTCATATATGACGCGCCAAAATAAGGTTATCCGTTCCCGAAAGATATGATAATATCAAGGTGTATTTATTTTTCAACCACTTTCCGCAGGGAAGATGAAAAAACCCTGTCGGATACTGACCACCACTGGAAATCATGAAGGATATCATTCAGAGAGATATATCTGAAAACGCCTACACAGTGGTGATGACACCTAGGAAGCGAACCTCATGGATGAATTGATGAAAGTGAAGGTAAAATTGTGGCATAAATGAAGGTATCATCAAGCGTATATAAACTGAAATAACATATAATTTGTGTCTGTTTATTTTTCTGTTTGCTTACTCTACGTACTTTCCTTCTTGAAATAAAAGCTACGGTGGTAGAATATATATATATATATATATATATATATATATATATATATATATATATATGAACCGCATGTCTATACATTTACAGTTAGCCTGTTAAGAAGCCTATAAAGCAGTATCAAGTTTATTCAGGGCCTTCGTTCCCACAGCGGTTCATGTCTTCGTATATTGC